CGGGAGAAAGATGAGGCTTTCTGCTTCCGTAAAGATTTATAGCCTTGGAAACCCTGTATAGGGTCGCTATGAGTTGGAACCGACTCCATGGCACATAACCACCACCACCAAGGAGGATGGAACCAAGGAGGATGGAAGTTTCCTGGGACTCAGGCGCCCTCCATCCCTCCATCTGCTCTCCCTGCCTCACCTCCTTGGACAGCCCTAGGCCTGGGGGTATGTGACCTCCATGTGAGAGCTCAGAGGTCATGGACTGTTAGGAAGCTTACCCCAGTGTCCTAATGCCAAAGTGGGCTGGTATTAGGAGCAGCCAGCGGGAAACACCGAAAGCCTAACTTGTACCTCGATGTCTCTGGGCCTCACTTTCCCGTTCCAACATTCAGAGGAAGGGCACATTCCAGGGCTGGAATCCTGAAGCCTTCCATCGCATCAGGATCCTGGTGGGCCTGAGCCAAATGAGGATCCTCTCTGATCTCTGGGACCCATCTCCGCCCCAAACCTGGTTCAGAGTGTGTGAAGATCTGTGTTGCCTTGCCACCGCTAGGTGTGAGCACTGCAATGCCTGGGGGTGACACATCCCTGTTCTTTGGAGAAGGACTCTGTGCTCCCGCCCCTGATGGTGGCTGGTTCTCAGAGCAGCGGGGACCAAGGAGCACTGCCCTGGAGCTCAGAAAGGGCCCCATGGGGCTGTGAGTGCCCTGGTGCTGTCTACTGGAGGTGAAAACAACAGTTTTGGAGGGAGAGGTTGGACCGGGAACAGGGCCAGGCTGACATGGTGCTTGAATAGACAGCCCAGCCTCCAGCTGCCCTTATGCTCTGCATGGGAGGCCCCTAGTGGGCCTCCTGTTGCAGCCGGTTCCATTTCTAGAACATTCCAGAAGGTGCTTGGTAAGCATCAGTGCAGAGCTTGTTAGTTGTTTTATTGTTTATTCGTTTATTTTAATGTTTATTGTGAATTATGTGATAGTTTACATGGGAAGACATTAGCTTTACATTGATCCCGCCGTATATTGTTTCATTGCCATGGTTACAATCCCCTCCATGCATCATCCACCAACCAAAGGGTATACTCCGCAAGCCTGCTCCCTGTCGTCCACACACCACCCCTCTCTCTCTCCAGGTCCAAAGTCTCCAGCCGCTCCATCTCCCCATGTCATTGTTAGCTGTTTTAGATGCCATTGAGTCACTTCCCACTCATAGTGACCCTGTGTACAGTACAGTGAAACCCTGCCTGGTCCTACACCATCCTCACAGCTGCTACAATGCTTGAGCCCATTGCTGCTGCCACGGTACCAATCCATCTCATTGGGAGTCTCCCTCTTTTTTGCTGACTCTCCACTTTACCAAGCATGATGTCCTTCTCCAGGAACTGACCCCTCCTGATCATATGTTCAAATGATCATATGATCATATGACAGACAAAGTCTGGCCATCTTTGCCTCAACAAACATTTGTTTGTTGTTTTGGCAGTCCATGGTACCTTTAATATTCTTCTCCAACACTATAACTCAAATATATTGATTGATCTATTGGTCTTCTTTATTCACTGTGTAACTTTCACATGCCTATGATGCTATCGAAAATATCATGGCTTGGGTCAGGCGCAACTTAGTCCTCAAACTGACATCTTTGCTCTTCAACCCTTTAAAGAGGTCTCGTGCAGCAGATTTGCCTAATGCAATACATCATTTGATTTCTTGACTGCTGCTTCCATGTGTGTTGTTGGTGGATTGCTAAAAGTGGGAACCAACAAGACTGCACCTAACAACATCAGACCTGCCCCTGGCTTTCAGCTCTGTATGCTGTGAGTGCAGACTGCCCTTCCTTGTATTGAAGATGGCAGGAGTGACTGGTAAACTCAGAATTTAGCTGGGACTGTTCAACAACTGATAGCGTAGTGGTTACGAGTCTGGCTGCCAACCTCAACGTCAGCAGTTTGAAACTACCAGCGGCTCTGCGGGAGAAAGATGAGGCATTCTGCTCCTGTAGAGATTTGCAGCCTTGGAAACCCTGTGCAGGGTCACTATGAGTCGGAACCGACTCCACGGTCCTTAACAACAACAACAGGTTCCTCAAGAGCATAACTAAGTGTTCGGGAACACTCATTCTTTGCCATAGCTTGTTGAAAGTCTTTGCATCATCAGTAAAGCACAGGTAAACATCTTTCTGGTATTCTCCGCTTTTAGCCAATATTCATCTTTTTTTGTTTGTTTTTTTGCCAATATTCATTTTATGCCAGCATGATACGTTGTTGTTAGGTGCCATTGAGTTGGTACTGACTCATAGGACCTTATGATATACCTCTTTGCAATCCTCTTCTGAATCCAGCTTGAACCTCTGGCAGTTCCGTATCAATGTACTGTTGCAGACATTTTGAATTATCTTTAGGAAAATTTTATTTGCATGTGACATTAATGATTTCCGCATTCTGTTGGGTTATCTCTCTTTGGAATGGGCACAAATATAGCATAATGTCCTTCTCTCGGGACTGATTCCTCCTGATAGTATGTCCAAAGTATGAGGGACGAAATATGGCCATCCTTGCCTCCAAAGAGCATTCTGGCTTTATCTATTTCAACACAGACCTGTTTGTTCTTCTGGCAGTACATGGTACTTTCAGTATTCTTCTCCAACACCAAAACTCAAAATGCATCAGTTTGTCTAGGGTCTTCTTCCTGCAGGACAACAAAAAAGAATGCAGCGCATCTGGGCCCACCGCGCCTGCGCCTTGGCTTTCGAGGCCACCCCCGGTGTTGGGCGGGACTTGCAGTCCTCAAGAGTGAGAGAATCCGGCCCTCCCGGCCGCTCGGTGCACACCGGGAGCTGTAGTCCGTGGGAAGGAGCGGTCCCGGGCGTCCCGGGCGCCAGGTGCATGCCGGGAGCTGTAGTCCGCGGGCGCGGGCCCGCCCGTCACCTGGCTGGCGGCGAGCTCCCGATGTGCCCAATGGGAGCAGTGGCCGGCCGCCCCGCCCCGCGCCCGCCGGACGTCGGTGTTGGGACATGGCTGCCGCCGGTGCCGGGTCCTTGAGCTGAGCGTCCGCCGTCGGGAACTAACCGCCGCCGCCTGCCATCCACGTGGGCCAAGGCTTGCCCGCTCGCCGGGCGCCGAGGCGCCGCCGGCACGGCGAGGAGCCGCGGTTGCGGAGAGGAGGCCGCAAGCCGGCAGCGGACGCGGCGCCGGGACGCATGGCGTCCATCTTACTGAGGAGCTGCCGCGGCTGGGGGCCCGCCCGCCTCCCGTCGCCTTGTGCCGCCGCGCCCAGGGGTAAGCGGACGTGCACGCTGCTAAGGGTGCGGCGCCTGGGCCTGTTGGGCATCGAACCTGAGTCCCCGGGCGAGTCGGGGCCCGGTGCCACGGGCGAAACGGGTCAGCGGCCTGTGCTCGGAAGCCGGGTCCCTGGGTGTCGGGGTCACACCGGGGAAGGAACCTCAGATGGCCCCGCTACTGCCGGGAGGAGCCATCCGCCAGTCCCCGCCGCAGCACCGGGCCCACCGCTTCCCAGGCGCAGCAGCTAAGCGCAGGGGCCGGACATGCTGCCAGGGCAACGCCAGGCGACCTGGGTCGACCCGGGCTCCCAGTGCCCGATGGCTGCAGGGAAGTCCCTGCTGAGCCTGGCGACCCCTGAGTCCTGGTGCTAGTCAGCACTGCCGCTTGGCTAGGGGTGGTGTTGCCGTCACTGTCTCCATTCAAGCTGTGTGTGACCTTAATGTTTCGGGTCGCCGCTAGGCTTAGGAAAGTTTTGGAAAGATCCGGCACGCTGATTCCATTCTCTTTGCCAAGTCTCGATGGAACCTGTCACAACGTGCCCTTTGACCGTGTTCAGGGATCCTAAGGTGGAACTGTCCCGGTGGCATGGCAGCAGATCTGTGAGGTTGCAGGAGGGCCTCAAGACCCTATAGTACCCGTGCATCATTGTGGAGTTAGGGGGCACCCACCTGGGCTTCCAGATACTGTGGGCAGGAGATGAGCCAGGTGTAGATCTTGTGTGTTTCTGACTCTAGAAACTGCAGGAAAGCTGAGCGTGTATATGCACGTCCTTGAGTGTCTAACTATCGAAGCTTTGAGAATCCTGACTTTCAGAAGCTATGAGACTGCAGGGCAGTAGGATATGAGCTGGACTTGATGGTCAGTGGACAGTGGTGTGGATGGCAACTTGGCAACTAGGATTGTACTGTAGCAGAGGGGCCCCAGGCTAGCTGTGCGTGACCTCTAACAAGTGCCTAAATAATCTGGATCACCCCTAACTAACTCATAGGCTCTTAGGGATTAACACACAAGGATCTGTGTCTCTCTGTGTGTGAATTATTTCTTTGAGAAGCATCAATATGAGGCGGAGGTAAAGATGTCCCAAATGTCTAACTTTTCCAAATTGCTGTACCACTCTATCATCTCTACTATCAATTCCTTCTCCCCTCAGGACTCTCCCTGCCATCTTTGGGTTCTGTAAATCCCTGCAATATCTCATAGAACCCACACACTGTCAGAGAAATGGATCACACAGTTGTTAGGTACCGTGGATGCTGGCAAGCCTCAAATCTGTGGGTCAGGCATCAGTCTGGAGAGTTCTTTTGACTTCTCCTGGTCGCAGGGGCTGATGAACTGAAATCAGCCGGTCATGCTGCTGGCTCACCAGGCTTGGGAAGTTGGCAAATCAGGTCAGACAATAGGCAGTTGGCTCAAGTTCCAAGAATTTTGGAGGTCAGGTGATGACAAGCCAGAGGCAGGATCCAGAGCAAGAGAGAAAACTTTGCCAGAGCATTCCTGTATTTTGGAATAAACCACACCCTCAAGGAAACTAAGGGTGGTGATTTGAGTTACACCCTCTGTTAAGGCTGTGACTCAAGCTACATCCCACCCTAATCCTGACTCATTAATATAACGGACAATTCATTCCCAAATGGGTCCATAATCACCAGCATAGAGGCAATTCACAAAATGGAAGACAATTATATTTTTATATAACTGCCTTATTACGTAATTACATGTAACTACTAAACCACTGAAAATCATGGCCCAGTCCAGTTAGCCAGCATGGGTTCCATGTGGCATTTGCATTAGCCACAAGCGGTTCAGTCCTTTTGGTGAGCCACATGCACCTCCCTGGCATTATCCCACTTGATCATTGTGTGGGAGTCATAAAGACTGGCCAGAAGGCCCATGTCGAGTCCTTCACGGTACGGCTCTCTTTAAATTAATAACGTTTCTGGGTTTGTTTCCACATTTGCCTATTTATTAAGAGTGAGATGAGGATCAGGATCATATTTGTCCTATAAAGTTGAGAGCCTGAAGTAAGATCATATAAAAGAGGTGTTTTCCAGTTTGTAAAGCCACTTTAAGAAACCCCATTCTTGTCACTTTCGACCCCAATGGCAGGTTGGTAGTTGAGAGCTTTGGAGCTGTGGGCAGCGATAGTTGGAGTGAACAGCCTGGATCTAGATCTACTACAGCTTCCAACCTTTCTATCTGCTCTTAGAGTGTGCGCTCACTGTTTTCCTGAAACGTTACTGATGGTAATATAAATGCTCTTGCCTTTCCCATTTCCATAGCATATTATGCTTTAAGAATTGTCTGGTTTGTGTGTGTGTGTGTGTGAGAGAGAGAGAGAGAGAGAGAGTGTTTTCTTCATTCTTTTACTTTTACTATGATTTGAGACAGCTAAGTTTACTGAGCAAATTGGTTTTTCCATTCCACAATCTTAACACATTTTGCTACATTGCTTATAGACTCACAACATAACAACCCTCATCCCACCTCCTCCCTGTTTACCGCTCTATTCATCATTCCTTCCTATCTCTTCCTGCCCTCTGAACTTTATCCCTGAGCAAACGCTGTACTTTGAGTCTTGTATGGTCGATTGCTCTAAGGAGTGTGTACCTGCCTGGTGTGATTGTTCACCTTATAAGCCTGTCTGTTGTTGGGCTGAAAGTTGAGCCAAGTGGGTAAGTTGTCTTCTAGACTTGGACTGACTGAGGGCCACAGTCATGGAGTTCCACCAGTCTCTATCTCTCAGACCAGGAACTACTGTTACATCGCATGGACTATCTGAGGGAGCAAGAGTTGGTCATATAGCCAGTTTGCAGTAGAACCAAAAGAAAGTTCAGAACCAACCTTTGGCCAGCTTCTCCTGGTGATGGGCTTTGGAGAGATTCCTGACAGCTCGGAAATGAGCACCCACACCCCAGTCGAGTGCTTATAGGTCCTTTCCTGGAGCAGGGAGCTTTGGTGGTCATCAGATAATGTAGGACCCCCTTGTTTCTGTTGTTAAGTGGTTCCAACTCATAGTGACCCTGTATAGGGTTTCTCAAGCTTTAAATCTTTGCGGGAGATGAAAGCCTCTTCTTTGGTAGGCTCAAACCTTGGACCTTGTGGTTCACAGTCCAGTGCTTACCACATGAACCCACTGTGCCCCCCGAGACCCCCGTATTGTTGTTGCTAAGTGCTTTCCAGTCGGTTCCAACTCATAATGACCCTGTATAGGGTGTCCAAGGCTTTCAATCTTTTGGGGAGTATAAAACTTTCTCTCTCTCCCACGGAGCAGCTGGCAGGCTTGAACCGCGAGCTATGTGGTTCGCATTCCAGTGCTGAAGGCCCACATGACCATGGCTTATTAATTAATTGAGTCATCCAATATTTACTGGGCTGACACCCTCCCTCCTTTGTTGCTGTTGTTGGCTGTTGTTCAGACTCCCAGGGACTCCAGGTACAACATTAGACCCTTGTTATTCATAGGGTTTCCCTGGCTGCTTTGCAGGCCTTCTTTCTTCTTCTTAGTCTGGGAATTCTGCTGAAGAGTGTTCAGGGTCGTCTTAGGAAATGGATTCTGAGTTCTGTCCCTGGTGGTCAGCAGGTCCTTGTGAGACACACAGACTGGCTACTTGGCAAGGTCTTCCCAGGTGCCAGCCCTGTGTGTCCTATCTGCCCCTCTCCCAGCTGTATGATTTGATTTAGACAGGAAACCCTCCGGCTCTGTTACTTGCTTGTTGTAAAGTGGGGACATGGTTACTGCCTGGAAGTTGTTGAGTGGAGGGGTGGTGTATTAGCACGTGTAAAGTGCTTAGGGGATCCGTGGGTGGTTAAAGTGCTCGGGGCTGCCAACCAAGAGGTTGGCAGTTCCAATCCACCAGCCACGCTCCCGTGAAAATGACCACCTTGGAAACCTTCTGGGTCAGTTCTCCAGGGTCGTTAGAACTCAGAATCTACACCTGGCTCATCATCTTTTTGAAAAAGCAACTTTATTTGGAAGCAATCAGATTTGCAGAGAAAACATGAGATGCTAGTGAAAGACTTGCCCTAAGCCCCACACCTGCCCTGTTGTGAACCTGGTATGGCTCTGTGGCTTAATGCGCTGGACTGCAAAGTCACTTTGAACCGTGAAATTGGCAGTTCAAGCTCACCAACTGCTCCTTAGAAACCCTGTCCAGGGTTGCTATGAGTTGGAACTGACTTGATGGTACTGAACAACGTGAATGTGGCTCTTTTGTCACACAGAGGAGCGAGTGTGACACATTATCACTAACTTCCTAGTGTCTTCTCCGGAAGGAGCCCTGGTCACATAGTGGGTCATACCTAGGACTGCTAACCACAAGGTCAGCAGTTCAAATCCACCAGCTGTCCTGCGGGAAAAAGATGAGGCTTTCTGCTCCCATAAAGATTTACAGCCTTGGGCGCTCTGGATTGATTGGACATCCAGCACTGTCCTTAGGCTCCTCTGTGCTGTGACCATTTCTCAGATTGTCCTTGTTTTCAGTGACTTTGACGAATTGTACTGGTCAGGTGTTAGAGGAATGCCCCTCCTTGGGATTGTCTGACATTTATCTCACAGGTGGACTGGGCTTGTAGGCTTGGGGGACTACTGCTGTTGACGTGAACCTTGGTCACCTGCTGGGGTGCTGTTGTTGGGTCTGTCCTGCCTGTACCTTTGGAAGGGCGTCATCATGTGTGGGCCACACTGAGGGAGTTGGCCAAGGGTGTTTATAGACGTGGGCTGAGAGAAGAGGAGAGAGGCTCACCGGGGAGCAAGGTGGGGGGCAGGTGAGAGAGAGAGCTGAAGGAGGAGGGGCCGCCTGAGGCAGCAGAAACCCAAGGGAGTGTGACTGACACACACACACCCCTACCCACCCACCCCTGTGCCAGGGAGTGCCAGGGAGTGGCCCTTGGCATTGCAGTCACTGCTGGAGGCGGGCAGGAAAGCCAGCAGGGGGCATTGGGAGACTCCTGGGCAGCCTCTGGGCCTAGAGCCTCTGGGAGTGGTTTTGGGGAGAGCTTGGTGACAGCAAGGGAATGAGTGGCTGTCTCTCAGAGAGGCCACTACTGGGGGGCAGGGGCAGTTCTCAGAGAGGAGGGGGCCTCACTACTGTGGGGGCAGGGTCTGTTCTCAGACAGGAGGGATACTCACTACTAGGGGCAGGGTCTATCCTCAGAGAGGAGGGGGTGTTCTCACTACTAGGGAGGGGTCTGTCCTCAGAGAGGCGGGGCCTCACTACTGGAGGGTGGGGTCTGCCATCAGGAGGGGTGCACATTACAGGGGACTAGTCTATCCTCCCAGAGCAGGGGGCCTCCCGCCTGGCTGTGGTCAGAAGCTGGTCGGAGGTGCTTTTCATGTTCACATTTGCAGGATGGGAGCTGTGCTGCCTGTCTGCCTGAGGTGGGGAGCCGCCTCTGGGAAGTGTAGGGGCTGGCCCTGAAGGAGCACACAGGGGTGCTCGGGTGGTGGCCTGGGACCCGTCCACATTGCTTCTGTGGAGCAGGGGAGTCTTAGAGGGAAAGACTGGGGATGCCCTGTTCAGTGACCCTATACAGGACTTCTAAGGTGTGGTTGATGGGTTTGAACTACCATTCTTGCAGTTAGCAGGCCAGTGCTTATCCTATAGCCCCGGGACAGAACTCCGAATAAATCATACACATTTATAGTCTCCTTTGTATTTTGGAACTTCAGTGTAAAACATAAGTAACATTTGCTCCATACAATGTAACATTTTTTATCATGAATGAGGGAGACCTGAGTATGGGTAACCCATCTCCATTTAAACCTAGCCCAGGATTAGCAGTCTGAGTTTCTAATGTCACCTTGGATGGGAGTGCCCCTCACCCCGTGTTGGCTGCTCCTATGTTGAATGACACGAAGAAGCAAGGGGTCCCACTGTTAACAGCTGCCTTCCTGCTCTGAGGCATGAAACCTAACACCTGCCCCTTGCCCCTCCTACTTTTTTCCCTTGCTGGTCCCCAGAGTGTCCTGTCCGCAATCCAAACTAGCACAAGCCTGGTGTCGCCTCAGGTGCCTGTCCTTTCTGTCTGTCTGGAACATCTACTTTGGATCTTCTGGCCTTAAATGTTGATTATTTGGATGAATTCTGACCTTACACTGACAGTAACCTACATCTAGAGTGAATTAGGGGAAGCATCAGAAATAGCCGTTTGAACTGCAAGGTTGGCAGTTCAAGCTCACCAGCTGTTCCTCGGAAACCCTATACAGGGTCGCTATGGGTTGGAACTGACTCGATGGCACTTAACCACAGCAGCCTGTCTACTTGTGTGTCCGAGAGCATGGGTCTTCTTGGCTTGCTCGTTTTCTAACTCTTACAGTCCCTGCCCCCCATCACTTGTGAAGGGCAGGTGATGTGGTCATCTTTTGTGGGGACTTCTCCTGTTGCATGGAGATCTCATGGGGTCCCCAGCCCCTGTCTGCCACAGCCAGCCTGAAGTGCACCTTGGGAGAGTGGTCCCACCCTGTGAGCACCCTCTTCCTTAGCTTACTTGCCGAAGTGTGGCGCCTCCCTCTGAAGAGTTGACTCTCAGGGTGCACAGAATCAGGGGATACTCCAGGCCCCCCTTTTTCCCAAGACTCTTCATTTCATAGTTGGGACAGACCCTCACTTAGCCTTCCACAGCACTTAGAACAAGCTTCCAGAAACTCACAAGAGCGAACAGTCTCCCTTAGACTTTCAAAGCTGTGTCTGGTTTGCTATTTGCTCACTCACCTTTTCTCTGTGCTTGTCATAGGCAGTCTGGGGAACCGTGCGTGTCTCAGCTGTACCAACACTGTGGGACTGATAAACCGTGTGTAAGTAAACAATGTCACTTGTTACTTGTTTGTGTGAAATGCTTGAGTCAGGCGTTCCTCTGGATTTCGAGGGGAAAAATTTCCTACGTTCCTGACCTTTTTCTCAAGGAGTTCTGGTAGGATGATGACACCACAGCTGTAGGTGGTAGGAATCTGGGAACATGGTTCAGTCCATAACAGGGAACACATTACATATGCATAACTTCCCACCGCCTTCTAGTGCTGGTATTTTACCTGTGTGTAAAATGTGTGTACTGTGTGTACAGTCACGTGAATGCCAATAAATTGTACTTTCCTCTTAGGACTCTAGATTCATGGAAGGAGAGGGACTGAGTATTGGCGGCCAGCAGGCAGGCTTGCAGAATGTGCCCTTTGGTTGTTTAAATTATTACATATTGCTGAGTGTTTTTGTGGACATCTCCCCACCCCCCATCTCCCTAAAAAAAAAGGAAAACCAGAGGGAATGGAAGCAAATACTGTTGAATGATGCATGGAGGAGATTGTAATCATTGCAATGAATCGATGGTGTAAAGCCGATGTTCCCCCATATAAACTATCACTCAGTTCACACACACACAAAAGTAAATAATAAAAGGAAAAAGAATTTAAAAAATTGTACTTCCCTCTTAAATGTCTTTTGAAGGCCCTGGTGGCATAGCAGGTTTAGCATTTAGCTGCTAACCACAGGCCAGTGTTTCAAACCCACTAGCTGCTCCGCTGGAGAAAGACGAGGCCATCTGTTCCCATAAAGATCTGCAGTCTTAGAAACCCTCAGGGGCGGGTCCACTCTGTCTTTCTGGGATGCTGTGAGTCGGAATCCACTCAATGGCAGTGCATTTGGTCCTTTCCCCCACTTTCCTGTCCTTCTTATCCTAAGTCACGTGTGTCAGAGACTTGTTGGAAGATAAATAAATGCTTGGCATCCTGGTGCCTGGTTAGACGTGTTAGCTTCTTGGTTCTGGCTATTGTGACCATTGCACTTCTGTGACTGTTTTATATTTAATACTCTGCCTGGGCGGCTGTACCTTGTTGTCACTCCTTCTCCAGGCCTCCACACTGTTGTCACTTCCAGTGTCCCTTCACTCACGCACAGAAGACTTGTGTAGTGCGGTCTGCCTGTGGACGGCAAGACAGCTTTCCCCACCCCGCCCCCCACCCCTCAAGTTCCTGTCCGAACGTCCTTCTCCCCAAGTGTGTGTATTGGGGGAAGACCGTACGATGTACTTCACGGCTGGTTTAGAGCGTGCACCTGTGAGCCCCCTCCTGATGCCCATGGTCTGTCAAGGTGACAGCTAATTGACAGGGAATGAGGCTGTGAGGGGCGCACACTGCTCCCCCTGCAAATCTGGAGCGAAGGCGTCCATGCTGGCCTGGACCTCCACTTCCCCCAAGCTGGCCATCTGCTGCTGCCCCTCCTCACTTGTGTATTGTGGCACCTGACCCTCTCTCTGGGACACCGAGTCTGTGGTCACCTCCCCTCAACACTCTCCTAACAGCCTGTCAGGTTCAGATCATCTGGCACAGAGCTCGACTCTGCCCCCGCCAAGTCTCCCCAAATGTCCTACCCGGGTGAGCGATAACCTGCCAGTCAGCCACCCCAGAGAGAGATGCAGGGATACGTGGGTTTCCTGATTCATTTTTATTGTCTTAAGTTGGCTGTGAAACTTTCTGGGGGGTGCTTCCTGCAGTATTTAAATGCTGAAAATAAAAATGTGGTTGTAGTTTGCAAAACTGGCATGATGGCATCTCACCTCACAAGGGGAAGGAGAGAGAATCCCCATTGGCATCAGCCTAAGGCTGATTCCTCTGAGGTGAGTGCCAGACACGTCAAGTCTGACCCCAGCCGTCCCTTCCCGGCACTCTCTGTTCTCTGTTGGGTTTGATAATTCAGTGCAGTGGCCACAGAACTCAGACGACTCACAATTATGGGTTCCAGTTCAGGATCCAGAATGAGTCAGGATACAGTTCTGGATCAGGACAGCCTTTCTCAGCTGCTGTCTTCAGCTCCTGTCCCCGTGGCCCGGCCTCTGCCCTGCCTGGGCAAGTGCTGTAAAGCTCTGTAGCTCTGCCAGCTCGGCCAGCAGCACTGACTCTGTGGGTCAGCAGGTCCTGGGTCACTGCCTGGCTCTGTGGGCCTGCCTGGCTCTGTCTTGTCCCTGTCTCTTTCTGTTGAACTCTTCCTGTTGGTGATGAGGGCCCCTCTCTCCTGGGATTGGTTCCCTTTAAGCCTAGTGGGATGGCAAAATGCCTCGTTAGTGGTCCATGTATTACTTGCATGACTCTCCCCCCAAACCCGTGCACCTTATTTGCATTTTTAGCAGACTGTCCTGTTCCCTTGGTGGGCCATAAGCACCTTATTTTCATAGTTCCAGCCAACTTGTATGGGAGTCACAAAGGCCATGGCTAGAAGGGCAAAGTGAAGTCATTGTCTGTTCATAGGCAGGAGGTAGTTCCAGAAGGGAGGCACTATCACAGGGAGATGACCTGGGTTCCTGGACTCATCCCTGCTCCCCTGGGCTCCTCAGGGCTCAGTGCCTCGTGCTGCGAGATGGGCCCTGCTGTTGGCTCATGGCAGAGACGAGAGGCTTTGCATCTTGGAGAAGCAGGCAGAATGGAGCTGGGATGCACAGCCCCAGCCGACAGGTGCTGAATTCATGGCACCTTTCTTGCCCTGAGCCTCCGTGGGATGCATGTGTGGGGGGGGCTTGTCCTTGCCCCCAAGGTGCATGTTTTGGACCTGGGTGGTTGGTTTTAATTCAAAGGAAACAACGGCTTTGGAGGGTGACCTGCTGGGAAAGACCCAGTGGAGATGTTTGATCAGAAGCTGATGGGAAGGGCAGTGGTGACCACAGGATGCCACAACTCCCCCGGGAGCGCGGCTGAGCTCTCACCTGTGAGAACACACCTCCCAGCGCTCAGCCACTGTGACCTGCGGGGTGCACTGAGGCCTGGCACGCAGTCTCGGTCTGTCACTCAGGCTGACCGGCAGTGTGTCGGTTGAGAGATAATGGCTGGATTCTCACTGCTTTTTCCTTGTTTTCCTTTTAAAGGCATGTGACGTGTGGGTGCTGCCCTGTCCACCCTGTGTACGTCTCTCTCAAGGGCGATCATTTCAGCCGCTGGACTCTGAGGCCAGAGTGCACACGCACAGGGCCAGGGGCGCCATGGACCCCCATTTCAGTGGGTTTGGTTGTCATGAGACCCTGGTCTCTTCCTGTACGCTGCTGGCACTCGTCACAGCCCTTGTGGGATGACTCCCTGGTCGAGAAGTCCCTCAAATCCTTGAAGGACAAGAACAAGAAGTTGGAGGAAGGCGGCCCAGTGTACAGTCCCCCTGTGGAGGTGGCCGTGAAGAAGTCCATTGGGCAGAGGGTGCTGGACGAGCTAAAGCACTACTACCACGGCTTCCGCCTGCTCTGGATCGACACCAAGATCGCTGCACGCATGCTGTGGCGGATCCTAAACGGTCACACCCTGACGCGCCGGGAGAGGAGGCAGGTAAGGGAGACGCACCTGAGCTGGTGCTGACTTCCCTCTTCGGGAAGCTTCTCCAATACCTCCACCCCTCCCGTGTAGCAGAGCGCTTTAGTACACACATGCTTGCTTTCTCTCAGCTTTGATGTCATGCTACTGTCTCCTGGCTCAGTTTGATTACATTTCTCTTGCAGGTACAAATGCCTGTTTTGATGGATTGTTTTTCAGTTCTCTGTCTTTTGGGCTGTGAAAGCAAGTTTCAGGAATGTGTTTTTAGTGAATGTGTTTTTAGTGAATGTTTGGGATTTGTTCTTTCAACTCTGAACTTTCACATCTAGCTTCGTTTCTAGAACAGGATGTCAGCTCTAGAACTTGACTCCCTGCTAGCTCTAAACGCGAAACAGCTTTGGCATCTGTTGTCATTGCTAGAACTTGATTGGCCATCAGCTCTAGAACCTGATCACCTGGTAGCTCTAGAAGATGATTCTCCATCGGCTCTAGAAACTGCCTTCGGCTCCTCTCTAGAAGTGGCTCTTGGGCACTTAGAGGCTTTTGCTCAGACAGTGGTTGCACCAGCTTTCTCAGTCTTCTGTGTCTTTTAAACCATTTTTCCTGTTTTCCATCCCTCTGTCTCAGGGCTGCTACCGAGATATTTTCCTTCTAGTTCATTCTCTCTTCAGCTGAAGAAATCTGTTTAATTCATTCTTTGGGATTTTACTCTCAGTTACTGTGGTTTTTATATGTAAGTTTGATTAATATCACAAATTGTTTAAATATTTGACAGTTGTTTTCCAATAAGTTCCCTTTATAATCCTTTGCTTTTTGTATATATAATTTTTAATTTTAAAAAATGCTAATGAAAATCTATATTCAGGGTTTTTATCAACCACCGTGGCCTTTTTTGATAGGGCTTTGTTCTTTGGGTTTTAGGCTCCACCTTGATGTCTTCAGCCATTTAAACTATGCTCATTAAATTCAGCATTTCTCTTTCCTGACGTTCTCGGTGCTGAATCCTGATCCTGATTAGGTTGACTTTTGTTACTGGTGAGTGAGGTGTGCACTGGAGTTATGGACTGGGAGTTGATCCTCAGAGAGATTTTTGTCTGTGGAGACCCTGTGTGGGCTGGGTGGTAAGCTGAGTTCTGTGGTGTTTCTGGGGGAAGGTACAGCCTGTGTGGGCTTATGCCCAAGCTTTGTGTGAATGCAGCCCACCCTACCCACCCAAGAGCACCGTTGCCTCTGTTTGAGCCCCTGAGCCTTTCTTTACTTTCTTGTGAGCTCTGTGATTTATTTATTACTTTTAAATAACCTTTTATCTTGGGATAACTTCAGGTTTATAGGAAAGTTGCAAGCCTAGTGTAGCACCCCTGTAGTCCCGCCCCCAGGAAGCCACCAACCCTGGCCCGGTGCACATAACTGAGCCCAGATTTTATTTGGATTTCCGTTTTTTGCCCTTTCTCTGGCCCAGGTCACCACGTCGTCACCTTTCCTGTCTTCCCGGGTCTGTCGTGACCATGACAGCTTTGAGGAGGATGGCCGCGAAAGCCTCAGACACGGGATCAGGGTGGTTCTGCCAGGCCCCTCTCTGTGGAGTGACCAACTGTTACTCTGTGTGGAGAGACATCTCGTCCCCCAGCTCTACACCCGCCATGGTTCTCCAGCGGCCTCTGCCTTGCACTCACACTCACGCACTCTGCCTTCTTGATGTCTCCTCACGTGCTCTGGACCCTCTCGCCCTGATTGCCTCCCGAAGCCCCCTCACTCTGAACAAGCCCCTGAGACCCTGATGCTTCTCTTGCTCCCTCCTCACCCAAAACAAACTCCTTACCCTCTGACTGCTCCCCCTCATACTGAACCAGTGCCTGCTCCCCTTCACTGACTAAGCCTGGGGTCCCTGGTGCACCAGCCTCTCTTCCATCCATTCTCCCAAACTCACTGCCCCAGGTTCCTATCTAATCGTCCAAATTGCTGTTGTCAAGTTGATCCCGGAGAGTGCAGTGCTCAAGGCAGCCATTCTGGGCTAGGTCTGCTGAATATTTGGTTTTAAGAAGACTTCAGGGGATACTGTTGGGTTCCGATTTAAAGATGATCTCAGGGCAGTTGTTTTGGAGTTTCACTTTATGGCTCCAGACAGTCTAGAGTCCGTGAGCATTTTGTAATTCTGTCCTGCATTTTCCCTCTCTTGATAAGGATTCTTGCTTCTATAATCTTTGATCAAAATGTTGAGTAATACACATGTACTCATAAACATTTAGAAAGTGGTTTCTTCTCTTGCCTGGGGTGTTTTTCAGAAAGTGTTGTTTTAGGAGAACAGCTAAGTCACGTTTGAATATTTGAAATGGGTGTTCAGGTGATGGATGCTCTTGTTAAAGTGTCGTCTAGTTGGTTCCAACTCACAGCGACCCTGTATAGGGTTTCTGAGGAGTTGGTGGGTTTGACCGCTAATCTTGTGGTTCGCAGTCCGGTGCTTATCCTACAGCGCCACCCCAGGAATTCCTGGTGATGGATAAAGACAGCTTTTACCTACTGGGCACAGAGACCCTGGGTTTCAGGAGACACAGTGCAGTGAGCGTGTCTGCGTTTGTTTCCAGTGTGAATGCTTGGCAGGTGCAGTGTGGTGTGCCCTCCTAGTGTCTGGTTAGATGCTGCAGGTTACATGCGGGCAGTGTGGTTTTTTGGTAGGTGTGTAGCTTCTCCGCCTCTGGCAGAGACGCTCCATAGTGTGGCGTTAGCATCTGGAGTGTTCCATGCCTTTAAACTCTCTGGGTCCTGACAGCATCCAGGGCCACCAAAACAAAGGCACAAAAATGCCCCTTCCGAACTTGCGGTTGACACACTCATAGCAACTTCTCGAAGTTGGCTGTCCGACTTGCCACAAGGAGCAAATGGGAACTTGATTCAGACTGCCTTGGGAAGTCCCTTGCTATGGATAGCGGTAGCTGCCTTCTGGTTTCTTACTTGTCCTCCAGGACCGTTGAACACGGGGGTGGTAGTGGTGGATTTTTCCAAGGAACTCGTTTATTTATTGTTTCATCTTTTTCCCTTTTTTAAAAAAAACCTTTTATTGTGGTTTGGGTGAAAGTTGACAAAATAAATTGGTTGTGCATTCAACAATTCATATGTATTTTCATTCCTGACATTGAATGCAGTCCTCACAATGTAACTGCTTTCTCCCCACTTCCTCCTTGTGTTTCCTGAAACTTCCACCTATCCTTCTTCCCTGTCCCTTTCTGCCGCCGTCTCAGCTTCACCGCTGACAATGCCGCCCTTTTGATCTCATGTGGCTGGTAGTTGGAGCGGGCACCGCCCTGGTGTGATTGTTAACCTTACAGGCCTGTCATTTAGGCTGAAAGTTGAGCCAGTTGGGGGAGTTTTATTTAGACAGGAATACAGTGACACTTTGAAAAGGAAAGTGCTGAATTAGATTGAATTTCAGCAGCACCGTGCTTGTATTTGTTAGACTTGGATTTCATTGCAAATTGTAGCTTACGTATAGTGACAAGACACTACTTTTATCACACAGAGCTTCCTTCTGCTTCTCCCTTTCCGTCTTGCTGTGAGAAGTCTGTGTTTTTTGTTTTGGTTGTGGCTGTTGTAAACAGCAGCTTGATTGAGATCCAGGCATAGAGCATGCAGTTTGTTCATTCAGCTGCTTAAAGTGCACAATTCAGCGGTGGTTAGTGTATTCGGAGTTGTACAACTGCGACCAGAGTCGACTTTAGAACACTTCCATCACTCCAACAAGAAATCCATGCCCTTTAAGTATTCTTTCTGCTCCATCCCGCTCCCCAGCCCCAGTCCTAGTGAGGGGTCGGTCTGTGCTTTTGCTGTTTCATTGAAGAGGATGAGACTATAAGGGGGACATTGTGAGTAAGTTGAAGCAGCTGAGTGAGTGCCCGAGCTGGGGTCCCCACCTAGACAATGGATGAAGAAAAGAATTGGGGTGGAGTTGGACCTTCATTTTTTTCTGACTGTAGGGAGTCCTGGTATGGCACTGTGGGTTAACGCATCAGACTGCAAAGCTGTTTGAACTGCAAGGTCGGCAGTTCAAGCTCACCAGCTCTTCCTCAGAAACTCTGTATAGGGTCGTTATGGGTTGGAACCAACTCGGCGGCACTTAATAGCAACAGGGACTCCTAGGTCATTTGGATGTGAAGAAAATGTTATGAGTCCTGGCGGTTATAGAAAAAGTGGTCCTTAAAAATGATCATAATTCCAGGGGCAAAGAGAACGCACACAAGACAGCGCGAAGCAAGTGCATCAGATCTGTAGGAGACTTTTGAAATGTTCTGAATTTAAGCTTTTGTAACTTTTGAATGCTTGCTGTCTTGGCGACCCCCTTGGGTGTGCACATGCTCCATGGGGTTTTAAAGGCTGTGACCTTTCAGAAGGACAATGCCAGGCCTGTCTGCTGAGGTGCCTTTGGGTGGGTTTAAGCTGCCAGCCTTTTTTTGACTAGCCAAGAAGTGCTGTGCCGTTGGAAATCTTGCTAATCATGCTCACAGGAGAAAGACAAAAACGCTTCTGAGGATAAATGTGGAATGGAGGCACTTTGGAAACCATTGCTCACTCTGACCTGGTTCTTGTGGACCTGAAGGCTTCAGTGGGAGGGAAGTTTCGGTGCCACCATGAACACCCAGCCTAAGACAGAGGTGCCCGCATTTCTAACCCAGAGAAGTTCTAAAGTGTCAACAGAAAGATAGGGGCAAGAGGGATCAACTAGGAGTTCATCAGACTGCTAGCTGCATTGTGGAACTCAGCAGTCAGCTCTGCGGGAGAAGGTGAGGCTGTTTGCTCCTATGGAGCTTTCGTCTCGGAAGCCTTGTGGAGGGCTGCTGTGAGTTGGAATGGACTCAATGGCAGTGGGTTCATTGGATGGCCCTGACCCGCGTCTGTGACTTCGGGAAAAGGTGCAGCAAGCAGCAGCCTTAGCTCTGGCCGGGTTGGACTGTCCAGGGGTTCTGATTTGCATCAGGTGCAAACCGTTTTTTGCCTAGGCAATACCATGTGAATTGTCTGCCCCCAGGGACCGCAGTCTTGCACAGCAGGTGAGGCCGAGGTGAGAAGCTTTACTCTCTTCCCATCCTCACTATGCTCAGCATTCAAGCAGGCTCATGGCGCTCGCCCCATTCCAGAACCTTCCCTCTGCTTCTCTCTCTGCCTCCCCTAGATGCAAGGCTCTTGAACAGAGAACTGTGTGCTTGTTTAAGGCACCCCATGTAGCCACTCTTTTAGAATGAGACAGCTGCTAACAGCCCTTTTATGCCAGATATGTTGTTAGGGTTTACTTATCTAGGACTGGTCGTAAATAATGCCCTCTGCTAACCCAGCTACACCACGGGACCTTCTGTAAAGTTTTGCAGCCTTGGAAAGGCTACGGGTCAGTTCTACTCTGTCCTATAGGTTGACCGTGAGTCAGAACCAACTCAATGGAAGTAGGTTTGGGTGCAGATTGTCAGGTTGGATAAAAAAGCAGGCACCAGCTATATGCTGCATATAAGAAGCACACTTATAAGACACAAGTATCTTTAAACAGAAAGACACAAAGAGGGTTCAAGTGTCAGGATGGACAGAGACATGCCAGCCTGACCCCTCGTCAGAAGAAAGCTGCAGCAGCTACCTTGGTATGAGACAAAATGGAGTTCAGAACAAAAGATTGAACCAGGGAGAAGGAGGATCATCTTATAGTGATCAGGGCGTCAACTCATCAGGAAGGTATAATAACCCTAAGCCTCTGCCCACCTACTGCCCAAATGCAAAAGACAGCAGATTTCACAGGGTTCCATTTATAGGAAATGTTCAGAAAAGGCACGTTTCCAGAAACGGAAATGAAATCAGTGTTTTCCTAAGGCTGGGGGTGGCAATGGAGACCGATAGCAGTTGGACACGTTGGAACTTTCTGGTGTGATGAAGATGTTCTGAAACTGGAGATTAGTATGATGGTTTCATGGTCTGGAAATTTACTTACAACCATTGAGCTTTGTACACTCACACTGGGCGAATGTTAGGGCATGTAAGTTACACCTCAAAGGCCACTGAAAAATAACAGGGGTGTTTCAAAGGTGCACCACAGCCAACTGGAAAGGTCTCCCCTGCTACTTCTGGCACCATTTGAGCATAAAGCCAGCAGTGAATTAGAAACCATTGGAAAGCTTTAGGAATCCCCGAGCCCAGTTTGACAATAAATAGAAGAGTCAGTGCACGAGGACGCAGGGAAGCATGCCTCCTCCAACTGCTCGAGTTGGAAGCCACTACTCTGTGACCATTAAAGACCAGTGTGGATAGGAATCATTATGAAAGCTGAAGCTATGTGAAAAGTATGTTAAAAGAAAGGTGTGTGCGTGGTCTTGAAGTCAGGGCAGTGGTGGCTCAGGGGTCAAATTCTCACTTGGCGTGAGGGAGACCTAGATTTGATTCTTAGCCAGTTCCCCTCATCTGCAGTCCCTACCCATCTGTCAGTGGTGATGGTGGTGATGTGCCACAGAGTCAGTGCTGACCCATAGTGACACTGTACAGGGTTTCCGAGGCTGTAAATCTTTACGGGAGCAGAAAGCCTCATCTTTCTTCCGCAGAAGAGCTGGTAGTTTCGAACTGTTGACCTTAAGGTTCTCAGCCTGATCTGTCAGTGGGGGCTTGTGTATTACTACGATGCTGAACAGGTTGTAGACTAAGAGACTAGGAAGAAAGTTCTGGTGGTCTGCTTCTGAAAAATCAACCAACGAAGACCCTGCGAATCAACAGTGGTCCCATCTTTGCGTGGGGTTATGGAGTGGACTCCACAGGAGCTAACAGCGCAAGAGCCTGAAAGGTCTTGTTGTGAGTAATACCACTGGAAGTCCTGATCCATTAGAGAGAAAGCTGAACTACCTTAGTGGCTGCAGACCACGGAACTTTGAATATTTCAAGTTTTGCATTTCTCTGATGGCATCAGTGTGGCTCTTCAGGATAAGCACTGGACCATAAGGTTGATTTGAACCACAAGGTGGGTGGTTCAAACCCACCAGCTGCTCCTTAGAAACCTATACAGGGCCCTTATGAGCGGGAACCAACTCAATGACACCTAACAACAATGGTGTGAATTTATTGCTGTTGTTGAAATACTGTGGACTTTCTGAAAAAGGATTGCTTTGCATTATAGACTCAGATCTGACCTTTTTCAGAAGTGTGTGGTCAGTGTTTTTTTCTCCAGGTTCATGTTGGGGGGGGGTACCCTCGCCATCACACTGAGCAGTCAGGACCCCCATACTGTCAGCTGCCAGGGCCGATATCTGTTTCTGCTGTTGTGGGACAGGCCCACGTCTGCCTCAGGTGATTTCCACCAAGCATGGTCCCAGGAGGCCCCTGATAAATCCCTCGGGGCGAGTGACTCATGAGAGTGGGTCAGGAAAGCGTGTCCCCCATGGACAGGAGATGTCCTGCCCGCCTTCCTGAACACTCTCAGGCGGTCCCAGTGGTGGTCGAACTTATACTTGGCATAGCACACTCCTTACTCTTCTCCCATCTTTCCCAGTTTCTCCGGATTTGTGCTGACCTCTTCCGCCTGGTCCCATTCCTTGTCTTCGTGGTGGTGCCTTTCATGGAGTTCCTGCTTCCTGTGGCTGTGAAGCTGTTTCCCAACATGCTGCCGTCCACGTTTGAGACCCAGTCTGTCAAGGTGACCGGAATGTGGATGGAACAAGCTCCCTCCAAATACATTAGTTATTACTTACGATAGCCAACTTGTTTGTTGATTGGGTTTCAGGTGTTAGATGTTTTTCCTCATAATCCAGTCCTTCTGTTTTGCTGGCATTATTTCATGCTATTCAGGTTCCAATTGGGTTTTAAAATGTGGTATCTATGGTGGTGGTTGGAGTCCTGGTGTGGCACTGCGGGTTAATGTGCTGGACTGCAAGGCCGGTTTGAACCTCAAAGTCAGCAGTTGAAGCTCACCAGCCACTCCTTGGAAAGCCTATATAGGGTCACTATGAGTTGGAACCGACTCGACAGCACTTAACAACGTGGTGGTGGTGACGTGCTATGGAGTTGGTTCCGACCCTGTATAGGGTTTCCGAGGCTATAAATCTTTACGGGAGCAGAAAGCCTCATCTTTCTCCCGTGAAACAGCTGGTAGTTTCGAACTGCTGACCTTGAGGTTAGCAGCCCTACTCTAACCACTATAGACCACTATTTTTCAAAGCACAGGTTGAGACCCCCTATGTTGTTATTGTTATTAAGGGCTGTGGAGTCAGTTCCGCCTCACAGTGACCCTGTGTAGGCTTTTTGAGGCTTTAAGTCTTTGTGGGAGAAGAAAACTCATCTTTCTCCCATGGAACGGTTGGTGGACCTGAACTGCTGACCTGGTGGTCCATAGCCCATTGCTTTTTCTTTGGAGCCACTGCGCTTCCTTATGAACCCCTGTTGTTGTTAGGGGCCCTCGAGTCGGTACCGACTCATAGCAACCGTATGCACAGCAGAACAAAACACTGCCCAGTCCTGGGCCAACCTTACTGCTGTAGCCACACTTGAGCCCATTGATGCTGCCACATTGTCAGTCCATCTCGCTGGGGGTCTTCCTCTTTTTCTCTGACCCTCCACCCTACCAAACATGATATCCTTCTCCAGCTATATAATCAGCCCCCAGCCTCCTCAGCCTGTTTTTGTCTGTAAAGTCTAAGGGACATCACCACACCCTTGGGTGCTACAACAGCTGAATTGAGGAGCTGTGAGGGACTATCTTTGGCTGTAGATCTTAAGACCTTTACTTTCTGTCCCTTATGGACAAAAGCTTGTTGATTCTATAGCCTCAAAGGTTTTAGCAAACTTTTCTTTTTGTTTTGTTTTGAAATAATTTATTTTATTATTGTTGAAAATATACGCAGCAGAACATGCACCAGCTCCACAATTTTTCAGTCCCATTAAGTGACATCGATTCGATTCTTTGTGTTGTGTGACTATTTCCACCTCCTTTCCCACGTTGTTTCTTCCCACTCAGAATGACACTCATGGCCCCTCACACCAAGCCACTTTCCTCACCTTTGCAATTGTCACCGGTTGTCCATCCCATAGAGATAGTTCTTAAAAGAGCACAGTGCTTAAAAGAGGGAACAAATCTTTACATCAAAGATCATTCCCACCCCCTCCATACACAGAGTAGATAGGGATGGGCAATTTGGACATTGGCTACCCAAAATGGGGGGCAGGGGGAGGCTACAAAGGCAAGAAGTGACTGGCTTACAAGCTTTCAAGAGGGAACCTAGATTCAGAGGGCGTGAAGGAAGGTAGAATCTCCACTGAGTAATATCAAATCTGTCTAGGTGGGGCTGATGAAAGGAAATGCAGACGGGTCTCTCGTGATACAATAGTGAATAATTGTTTTCAGGACTGATTGTGAGGCTTGGAAATGTAAAGGTAGACGTTTTGTAGCAAGGAGGGGAGTGATTAACTTTTCAGTTTAGGAGCAGAGGTCCCTGGGACCGTCAAGGGAGAAAAGCGGAGAGCGGGACCCTACCCAGAGAAGCAGTGATGCCTGAGATGGAGGCAGAGACGAAGACATGGAGAGATGGAGCAGCTGGAGATTTTAGACCCAGAGAGGGAGAGGGGCTGTGTGCTGATGACCGGCAGGGGCAGGCTTGTAGTGTATACCCTTTGGTTGGTTGATGATACATGGAGGGGATTGTAACCATGGCAATGTAAAGCTAATGTTCTCCCATGTAAACTATCACATAATTCACAATAAAACATTAAAATAAAATAAAAAAGAGTGCAATGCACAAGGCAGACAGTTTTTAAAAAACTATTTAAACTAAACTACTGTTTAGTTTTAAGACATCCCGGGACATTTTTGGTCTAAAGTTCAAAAATGATCTCAGGACAATAGTTTGGGTAATTCATCCAGCCTCCACGGCTCCCAGAAAGTGTGGCTTCCATAAGAATTTGCTATTCTGGTCTGTGTTTTCAGGATTCTTCTATGGAATCCTTGATCAAAACGTTCAGTAACGGTAGCCAGGCCCTGTCCACTTCTGGTTTCATGGCCGAGGAGGCATTTGCTGCCAACGTTTCTGAAACCCTGAGTAGCGGGGAAAATGTCAGGGAGCACTGCCAGATGGGAGTGGGTGCTGGGCTGAGAAGTAAAGCGCATCTCCTCCTGTTGACCACTCTCACCTGTGCTGCCTGTTGACACCTGATAGCTCAGCACGGTGGCTCCCTGGTGGTGGGAACAGGGGAGCAGCCGGCAGGCAGGCCAGTGCCTCGAGGGAGTCCAGCGTCCATCTTGTTGACCTTGCAGGAGGAGAAGATGAAGAAGGAGCTTCGGGTCAAGCTGGAGCTGGCCAAGTTCCTCCAGGACACAATTGAGGAGATCGCCCTGAAGAACAAAGCAGCCAAAGGGAGCGCCACCAAAGACTTCTCGGCATTCTTCCAGAAGGTACCGGCAATGCTCCTTCACCCTTGCGGCCTCAGCCCCCAGCCCCCGGGGCTAGGAGCCAACCCTCCTCCGAGCGCCAGTACGCTTTGTCTGGGGAGAACGCATCTGTCCTGTTTTCTTGTGTTTAACAGAATGGGACTCCCAGGCAAATGTTTACTAATCCTGTAGGCCGGTAGCTAGGAGACCTGACCTGCTGATGGGTGTCAGCTTTGGGGATCCTTTTCCTCGCGTGCTCCCAGCAGAGCCGACCCTGTGCTCGTGAGCCCCTGAGCCACGTGGCATTGCCAGTTATACTTGGGAGTGGGGCATGGTAGCTGGGTGGTAACATTCCACCACCTCTATCTGAGGCCAGTCAGGGAGGTCCCTGTAGTGTCCGTTGGCAGCCCCACGAAGCTTGTTCCACACCGAGGTGCAGCCAGGGCCAGGCAGGAGGGGACAGATGACTGGTATTCTTTGGGCTGTGAGCAGAAGAGGAGGAGCTGTTTGGGGACTTGTGGAGCTTTCTGGAGTCAGTCAGAAAAGTGTGTCTAGAGTTCAGGAAAAGGTTAAGCAGGGGCTGGCAAATTGCCCAGACTCCCCCATGGGTCTGTGTCATGGTTGCTGCTTCCATCAAGGAGGCGCCAGGAGTGTCACTTCTCCTGCCTGGCTCTTCAAGGACACTGTTAGATTCCTGTCTGGGGGTGATGTGCCCGCTGAGGGGACAGCCGCACTTAAGCAGCAGGTGGGAGGGTGTTCAGCTGTGCAACGGTCCCCCTGGAGGTGGGGTGAGAGTGAAGGACCCAGGTTCCGAAGGGTGATTTGGGGAGCAGGGTAACACCACACGTCAGAATGTGCTGGGCTAAGGGACAGTGAGAGGTGGGGCTATGAGAGAATCCAGTCCATGGGGGTAGGAGAAATAGAGACCAAGGTGGGGGCTGCTGAGCCCAGGGAGGAGGTGGGAGGCCCCCATGCCGCGCCTCTGGATTGAGCCCCTCAGTGATGTGCTAAGTCAGTGGGGTCTTCGTTGGCCCCTTAGCAAAGCCTGATCAGTGTACTGCTTACTGGGTGAGGGGGGAGACAGTCTCTTGTCTAAAGAGCCTTGAGACAGCTGAGCCGTGCGGCCCTTCCCTCTTCTCAGAGGACAAAACCGTGGACACCAGAATACTGGAAGGAAGGACGGGTATCCCATGCCCAGGCTGAGCACGTGCGTGCATGCGTGTACGTGTGCGTGCATGCACACACCAGAGTCCACACAGTCCCTCACAGACAGCCCACCTGCGTCCTTTGCCCACAGTGGCAGAATTCCATGGTTGGTCTCTGAAATGGGAGGCGGCTCCCCAATAGGAGTGGACCCAAAGGACAAATCTTAGCAGGCTTGGGAGGTTCACGACGAGGCTGTCAGGGCCAGGATGGCAGTCGGGTGGGTTGCTTCAAGCGGAGTGCACTTGTTCACTTCAGGCTTTGCCTTGAGGGCATGGAAAAGGGTACTGGGGAAGACACACTCCCGTCCCTCAGCCCCTCCTCTCCTCCCCCACACCCCAACACACACACACCCCCAACCCAGTCGGTGAGCTTCAGATTTTCTTGCAGATCCGAGAGACTGGAGAGAGACCCAGCAATGAGGAAATCTTGCGTTTCTCTAAATTATTTGAAGATGAACTGACCCTGGACAACCTCACGCGGCCACAGCTGGTGGCGCTGTGCAAACTGCTGGAATTGCAGTCCATCGGCACCAACAACTTCCTGCGCTTCCAGCTTACCATGAGACTGCGCTCCATCAAGGCTGACGACAAGGTAGGGACCCTCCTCGCCTTCCATGTGTTCCGTTTTCTCATTCGAAAGCATCACGTCCTCCTTGTAGAAAATCTGGGAAAGAATGAAAAAAAATTACTGGCATCCCAGGATCCTGACCGTCAGCCATGTACGTTTCCGCCCACTCTGCTTCATACGTGTGTGGTGATGTGTGCGCGTGTGGGAGAGTGAGTGTGCTTCTCTGCATGTGCATGGGTTTGAGTGTGTATTTGTGGCTATGTGACTGAGCATTTGTGTGCTTGAGTGTGTGTGTGTTGAAATTCGTGTTGGAATCATATAGTCTGTGCGATGCTTTCACTCCACGGGACATTATGCAAAATCATTCCTGTCACTAAATAGTCACTGGAACCCTAAATGGCTGCCTGACGCGCCATATTCCATTTAACCAATACTTTAGCTCAGCTTATGCTGTCGTCTCTCATACTTTGGACATATTGTCAGGAGGGACCAGTCGCTAAAGAAGGCTATCATGTTTGGTAAGGTGGAGGATCAGAGAGAAAGAGGAAGACCCCAACAAGATGGATTAACCAAGTGGCAGCATTGATGGACTCAAGTGTGGCAACAGTCGTGAGGTTGGCCCAGGATCGGGCAGTGTTTGGTTCTGCTGTGCATAAGGTCGCTGTGGGTCGGTACCGACTCGATGGCACCTGACAACAACATCGCTGCCTTCAATATCTTTGAACATGAATTTTCACCCCAGATAGATGATAATGTCCTTAAAAAGGAGGACATTGGGAGTCCTGGGTAAGAGAGACTAGGAAGTCAACCGTGGCTCGGTACTAATCCCAAGCCACTCCTGAAGTGCACTGGCCTTGCCATGTTCCTCACCCCGGCTCGGCCTGGCTGTTACAGAGCATCTGCTTCTCGAACTGCTCTGGCCCGTGTGCTCGTTTCCCAGGCCGTGTCAGAAATGAAAGCTCTGCTCCCAGCTCCCAGTGGCCCCAGGCTCTCCATGGATTGGGGCTGCATCACACCAGTCTCTGCCTCTGTCATCACTTGGCCGTCTTCCCTGTGTGTGTCTCTGTCCATGTCTCTTCTCAGGACAGCAGTCATAAAGAGACCGGGGCTCACCCCCCCTCTGTGTGACCTCATGTTCACTACATTTGCAGAGACCCTGTTTGCAAAGAAGGTTTCAGTCTGAGGCTCTGGGAAGAACACAAGCGGGGATCCTTCAACCCGTTACATTTCAACATGAATTAATGAGAAGTTCAGTTTTTTCTTTTTACCAAAGTTTGTTTGAGGCATATTTTCAGCCCAGTGATTTTTGTTTTCTTGCTTTTTCACCTTTGATTGTGGCTGGGTGAAAGCTTACAGAGCAGTGAGTTCACATTTTTTTACTTGCCATCTATTGCAGTTCCCACAGTGTAACGACAGTACTCTTCCTGCTCCCTCTCTCTGGTCCCTGTTTCCATTTGTCCTTCTTTCCTATCCCTTCCTGCTTCTCAGCTTTGTCCCTGGGCAGGTGCTGCCTCTTTGGTCTCTGTGGCTGATTAAGGAGTGAGTACCTCCCTGGTGACATTGTCCCGCATTTCTGATGGCACCGTTTAAATCTAGGAGCCTGGAAGTGAGGCGTAGTCTTTGTAACAGCCACGTTCTCTCCTCACCCAGCTTGACTGACCCTGCCTCCTGTCCAGCAACCATCAGGCCGCTTCTTGAGATGTAGGTTCAACCAGTGTCGTGACAGGAAGTGACCTCCAGTCAGTGGGGTCAGTGTACCCAATGGGTCTACAATTCTCATCCCTTGGAATCAGTTCCTGGTCCACACTGATTCTCAGGGTACCTGCTTTTTATCACAGGAGATGCCAACTACCAGCTTTACAAAGAGTCAGTGTCATTGAACAACCCATCATTGGAACCACGAACTCCCTGGAGTGGTGTACCAGGAGCCTTGGTGCCCAGTCCCAGAAGGGCTGGTCTTGAGAAAGACCACTACATGCTGATTACATTCATGGAAAGGGCCAGCTAACTCAGGAGAGGTGGAGGCTAAGGACGCCTGCAGTGCGCCTGGGAGCGACTGCAGTGGACGGTGATAAAACACAAGCTGACTGGACTGCCAGCGTGCTGCGTCTGCCTCATGGAATGCTTGGGGCCATCTGTGGTGTACCAGTCACCACCAGCTGCGCTCAAATTGACTCCTGATGCCAGTGACCCCTGATGCCAGTGTGTGTTGGAGTCAAACTGGGCTCCACAGGCTTTTCAGTTTGTGATGTTTTAGAAGTAGACCATCTGGCTCTTCTTTCAAAGCGCCTCTGGGTTTACTTGCTCTGCCTTCCTCTCGGTGAGCAGCTCCACTGATAGTGACTTGAGGTGGCTCTGTGGACAAGTGCACCCCGCTCCTCCAGCACGCCTAACTGAAGGTGCTCAGCTTTCTTACATCGTGGACTGGGAAACACACTGCACCGTCTCACTCCAATCTCCTGGCTTTGTTGCTGCTGCTCGTGGTCTCTGTGTTACAGCTGTCTGTCTATCCCCTGGGTCTGCAGGCTTCCCTTCACAAAGGACACATGCCACACCCATCTCCCACCCCTTTCCATCTCTGATGGCTCACTGTAGGCCTAGTGGGAGAGCAGACCTGACCAATCCCCTCATAAGGGATCCTTGTCAATTTCTTCATAGTTTCAATGTTTACCAAATCTTCATGCATTTTCCTTTTCTTAATTTGATGTGAAGGTGTGTTATATTTCTTTGTTGTTGTTGTCAGGTGCCATCAAGTCGGAACCGACTCATAGCGACCCCATGCACAGCAGAACGAAACACTGTCCGATCCTGGGCCAACCTCAGCTTTCTTTGAGGTTACCAAATTTATCAGTTTCTTCCCCAAATATTAAAACAGTCTGTTTTATCTTGAAATCTGCTTGACTTCCTCGACATTTGGTATTCTGTAACTATAGTTTCCCACTTTGTGCTCTGTAGTTGTCTTTATTATAGAGTGATATCTCTGATTCCCTAACTTAAGTCTTGTAGTTGTGTTTTACTCTAGATACTTCTACATCTGCATTGAATTCTGGGTGGTGCAGGCATGTATGCCAGTGTACAATCGTTGTCCGCTGTTGTTGCTTCTCAATCCAAAGGATTTCCTTTAGTATTTTTTTTGTAAAGTTCACTTGTTTTTTACAAATTCCTTTAATTTCTGTTTATGTGGAAAAGTTCTAATTTCACTCTCAGGATAGTTTTGCTGGGTAGATGACCCTTAGTTGGCAGTTGTTTTCTTTTAGAGTTTTGTATATGTCTCCCCGTTGCCTTCTCGCCTGCATGGTTTCTGCTGAGAAGTCAGAACTTAATCTTATTGGTTTTCCTTTGTAGGTAACTCTTCATTTTCCCCAAGCTGCTTTCAGGATTTTCTCCTTGTCGTTTTTGCTTTGGAAGAGTTTGATTCTATGATATGTCTTGATGATTTTCTTTTGGGAATCTATCCTGCCTGGGGTTTGTTCAGTTTCTTGAATGCTTATCTTTCATGTTAGGAAAATTTTCTTCCAGCAGTGCTTCAGCTATCTTTTCTGTGGTTTTCTTTGTCTCTTCCTATTGTGGAATTTCGATCTCCCATGGAACAACTTACGTTGTTTGTCCCACGTGAGTCTTAGGCTTTCCTGAGATTTTTTTTCATTCTTTTTTCTGATTCTTCTTCTAGTTTACTAATATTGAGAGATTTCTCTTCCAGCTTGCTAATTCTGGCTTCATGTATTCAGTTCTGCGCCTTTGCCCTTTCAGTGTGTTGTCCATTTCTGAGAGCTTAGTCTTGATTGCCTGGATTTCTGTTTGCAGTTTTTGTATTGTCTCCAATGCTGTATCTATTTTGTTTGATTGTTACTGTAGCACTTTTCGGATTTCTTCCTTGTTTTCTTCAAGCTTTCTGTGAAACATTTGTATGTATCTCAATATTATTCTTTTGAATTGAATTCTTTTTCAGGTAGTTCCAATGCCTCTTCTTCCTCAAAAGCATTTTCTAGCCCTGCCTCTTGGTCATTTGAGCTACTCTGTCTTGTTTTTCATTGAACAGAAATTTGTTGCTTTCTAGACATTGTGATTTGGTACTTGTATTAAGTTGAAGAATGTGTGTTGGTGTATTTTTAGGTACTCACTAATTGCCTCCTGTTGGGTGTGATCAGATGAGCTTCTCTGTTCCCTGTACAGTGCAGAGTGGATTTGAAGACAGTTGGTGGGACTGTAGAGGCTCAGTGTAGCTTGGCTGTTTGGTCCCTTTTGCTCTCTCGGTTGTCTCCATTGCCACAGGTAGGTTTCTGCAGGATGAATACATTTTCTCACCTCTATAGCGTTCACAAACTCTCAAGATGGCTACAGCACATCCTGTTGGCTGCTGCTGTTCCTCACTCACCTCCTCTTTTGCCCTGTCTGTTCAACTTGCTCTCTGAGTAAGCACTCAATCTACTTTTCTATCCCTTCCTCTGAAGCTCAGAGTTCCAGGACTGCCTGCTGTGTCTGTCTCGTCAGGTTTTCTGTGTCCTCGCTGCTGAGAGCCTGCACAGCCTTCCTGCCTAGTCCGCCATCTTTCTCATTCGTCATAAAGGTTCCATACACCTTATTTACACGCTTCCACTCAGTTATTTGGTGGGTGTCACAAGACCATGGCTAGAAAGGCCAGATACAAGTGGTCCATTTCACTGCAGCACATAAACCCAGTGGGTCCATGCTCCCCTCACCCCTGGTGGTTCATGTGGGGATCCCACGTGCCTTGTCTCCTGACAACCTCTCTAACTTGGAAGAGACAGTCGTGAGTACAAGCTGCTAGAGGTTGAGTCCTGACCTGGCTGTTTGCTTACCTTGTGACCTTGCACAAATTATATAGCCTGTTACCACCTCAAATTCTCATCTATAAAATGGGGTCACAGCCAGAGAGGTCCTTCTCAGTCTTCCTCCTGCTGAGTCCCTGGACCTGGCCTGCGAGACCCACAGAACGAAGGAGGCTGACTTAAGAAGCAACAGTGTCCAGATTCTGGAGCTTTCTTTTTGCTTCGTTGATCTACTTGGAGTGGAAGAAACCAGCCACTCAGAAACTCTAATGAGTGCAGATAAAACAGCCCCAACAAAAGCCAGGGGACCAGAAAAAGGTGTCTGCTGCAGCCACACTGAGGAGCCCGACTCCCATGTCAGCAGGCCGTGACATGGGACACTATGTACTTAGCTGGGGCTTGCATCTGGGCCAGGTGACCACTGCCTCACACACGTTGTCACTGGAGACCATGTGGGGAGCTCAACAGTGACTGGACATTGTGCTGAGCAAAATAAGTCCCTTGCAAAAGGACAGAATAGTGTATGACCTCACTTATATAAAAAGACAAGAAAAGGTAATTGTATAGCGACCGTTTATTAGTGGTTACCAGGTGGAGGAAGTGAGGCAAGGGGGATAGCGATGATGGGAAAATCGTATTAATTAACGGTAGGGTTGCACAGGTGGTTATTGTAAGTGCTGTCGAGATGTAAAACGTTGAATTAGCAAAAGTTGTGTAGTAGATGTTCGTCAGTAGGCCAATAGTTCCATGGTGGTAGATCCATACCGTTGAACATGACTGTGCTTCATGAAAAGCAACAAACTTGATAAAACTTGCCATCCCGCAGACTACGACTCAGAAACCCCACGGATGTGGTGGTGGAATGCTGTGCAGTCGCTTTCGACTCATAGTGACCGTGACTAGGGTTTCCGAGGCTGTAAATCTTTACGGGAGCAGAAAGCCTCAATCTTTCTCTCGCGGAACAGCTGGTCGTTTTCAAACTGCTAACCTTGAGGTTAGCAGCCCGACTTGTAACCAGTACACTACCAGAGCTCCTTAGAAACCCCATGTGCATCAGTGAAACTACTCCATAAGGTTGTTGTTGTTGACAGTACTTGTAGTCACAGCAAAATGTACGGCAGTTCAACCATTTCTCTGTGCACAACTCCTGACGGTGATGACGTTCTTCAGGTTGTACCACCACCCTCACCCTCCTTTTCTGCATTTCCTCCACTCCCTGGACATATACTCACTGCCCCCTAAGAAGAAGCTGATCTAACCATCCTAATTGCTCTGTTCACGTTGATCTCATAAAGATAGGTCTGAAAAGACGGACATTTTTATCAGTTAACCTAAACTAAAGTGCTTAGCTTCAAGAAGACTTCAGGGGATGGGTTTGGTTTACGGTGTAAAGATTATCTCAGGGCAATGAATAAGGAAGAGCAGAGGAGAACGGATGCATGTGAGTTCTGGTGTTGGTGAAGAGTACTGAAAGCACCATGGACTGCCTGCCAGAAGAGCCAACAAATGTGTGTTGGAAAAAGTAGAGCCAGATTGCTCCTTAGCAGCCATAATGGCGAGACTTCATCTCTGACACTTTGCATATGACATCAGAAGGGACCAGTCCCTGGAGAAGGACATCATACTTGGTAAAGCAGACGGTCATCAAAAAAGAGGAAGACCCTCAAGAGGATGGATTGACACAGTGGCAGCAACAGTGGGTTCAGACATAGCAGTTATGGACATGGTGGCTGGTGCAAGAGTGGGCAGACAGATTCTCCTCTTGTTCCTGACTCCTCTGTCCTCTGTTGTTCCAGGGGATGGACAGACACCAATTGGTGTGCCTTGGATGAATGCTTGTAAGCTTTTCAGAGCCCGGGCACTGGGCTTTGAATTAAGGTGGTAGAATTGAAGCCCTATAACATGTTATTAGGCCAATTAACTGGGATGGCCCATGAAAACATGACCCTAAACCCCTGACCCAAGAAATGAAATCCCTCAAGGTGTTTGTATGTAAGCAGCTTTAGCAGCTGCTTTTTTTTTTTTTTTTCCATTGTTACCGTAAAAAAAGTGGTTTCAGACTTTTGCCATTTCAGCTTTTTACACCTGTACAACTGATTTAGCAGCATGTATAGTAATCACTGTGCAACTGTACCCCTAATCAATGTGCCTTTTCCCATCATCATCAGCCCCCTCCTGCCCCTAGTAACCACAGTTCAACTTTGGTCTGTATACATTTGCCTTTTCCTATCTTTTTTTGTAGGTGAGGTAATGCAGTATGTGTCCTTTTGTGATGGCCTTATTTCACTGAAGCATCATGTCTTCAAGCTCTGGCCATATAGTAACGTGTATCAAGACTTCATTTCTCCTATTTACTCAGTAGTCCTCGATTCTGGCTCATCGTGACCATATAGGATAGAGTAGAGCTGCCCCTTGGGGTTTCCAAGCCTGTTAGCTTCACAGAAGCAGAGCAGCTGGCAAGTTTGAACCACTGACCTTTTGGTTAGCAACCGAATGCCTTAGCTAGGGCACCACCAGGGCTCCTCCCATTGTGTGTGTGTGTCACAGCAACTTGTGTTTCTCCATCATCTGTTGACGTGCATTTAGGCCGCGGTTGGGAAGAGTGCTGCTGTGTACGTTGGTGTCTGCTTTCTCGGGTACACACCAAGGACTGGGTTTGCAGGGTCACATGATAGTTCTAATCTTAGTTTTTTGTGGAACTGCCACCGCTTTCTACAAGGTGGTACCATTTTGCATTCCCACAGCGGTAGATAGGGTTCCAGTTTGCCCACATCACTGCTGTCCAGAGGGTTTTCAGGAGCTGGTTTCTCACGTGTAGCTTGTCAGACCTCGCCTCTGAGCTCCTGTAAGTGAACTTGAACCTCCAACCTCTAGCAGCCAAGTGCGTAACTGTTAGCGCCACTCAGGGACTCCACTCTGTTGATTCACACTGGATAAATCTCCAGGGAATTACATTGCGGGAGAAAAGTTGACCCCAAAAGATTATGCACTATATGACTGCATGCATATAGCCATCTCCCATTGCTGTTGGATCGATTCCAGCTCAGGCAGTCTGAGTAGCACTGCTCAAGAGGGCTCTGAGGCTTCCATCTTCAGGGAGCAAACAGCTGCATCTTTCTCCCTTGGAGGAACTCAGCTGTACCACCAGCACTTTAACCCTCTGCACTACCAGGGCTCCTTTATGTTCATATAAAAACCCCACCGGCACTGCGTTGGGATTTACGCACCCCCACCTCTGTGCACCCCCCTCCCCTTCGTATGCCCCTCTTGCCTCTGCGCCCCTCACCTTTCTGTGCCCCCCCACCTCTGTGCATGCTCTGTGCCCCCTCATCTCTGTGCACCCTCCTCACCTCTGTGCCCATCTCCTGCATCCCCTCACCTCTGTGCGCACTCCTCTCCTTGCTGTCCCCCTCACCTCTGTGTGCTCACTTCACCCCTGTGCCTTGTTTCTTGAGTTCCTGATTGCTTTGCCCAGGCTGGGCTGAGGAGGCCAGGAAAACACTTTAGTGTGTGAGGTCCCCTCCCCCTCTTTCCTCCTATGAACTCTGAGACTTGGTGGTAGGTGGGACCCAGGGCTGTTTTGACAGGAACGTGTGTGTCCTGAGCTGGGCCTGGCTGAGTGGGTATACACGTCCCTTTGAGCCTAAGCCTCTGCCACCTCCTCCACACAGCTCAGTTCACAGGCTCCCACAGCCCTCTGTTGGCCGTCCCTCGGCAGAGGTGAGCTAGCGAAGCCCTTTCTAATGAGCTGTTTGTCCTGCTCTTGTGACCTGTGAATCCCGTAGACCTCTTGTGACTTTCTAAGAGGATAATTAGGTGGTTCTCTCTTACAGCTGATCTCGGAGGAAGGGGTGGACAGCCTCAATGTCAAGGAGTTGCAGGCGGCGTGTCGGGCGAGAGGCATGCGGGCCCTTGGCGTCACCGAGGACCGACTCAAGGGTCAGCTAAAGCAGGTGTGTGACCCCAGGCTCCCCTCACAATTCAGCAACACCTGGGGATCTAGGGACCTAAAGCACTGAGAACGGAGAGTCCTTTCAATGTTTGGCCACGGGGCCTGTGATTTGGAGCCCAGCGGCAGCTCATCTGGAAGAGCAGGATGTTTCTGGAGAAGAGTCAGTTCACAACCTTAGCGGTTGTGCCCCACATACTCACCTGCCCTCTAGGGACCTAGTGAGGGTTGGTGCCGGTGTTCTTTCTCGTCTGCCCTTTAACTGAATTTTAAGGCCTTCATGTGTCACCCTGACCTTGATTTCTTTTTTCTGAGACAGTTGTCATTGTTAGCTGCTGTTAGCTAATTGTGACTCACGGCCATCCCATCTGTACAGAGCAGAACTGCTCCATGAGGTTGTCAAAGCTGTGACCTCTCAGTAGTAGATTTCCAGGCCTCTCTTCCAAGGCATCTCTGAGTAGACTCGAACTTCCAGACGTTGGGCTAATAGTTAAGCGTCTAAACATTTGTGTTGCTCAAGACCACTGCTCTCCTGATTGTTTTGTAGGCAGGTGAGGAGGAGGGGCATCTTGCCTAGTAATTGAGGCCAGGATTGCAAAAAAAAAACACAAACAAAAAAACCCCCAAACCCCAGCAGCCCATTGCCATGAGGTCAGCTGAATCCTTGTGGCCCTGTGGGACAGAGTAGGACTCTGTAAGCTGTTCTCTTGATGGAATTAGTGACCATATCTTTCCTTCAGAGCAGCTCATGGGTTCACACTGCTGACCTTTTTGGCTCGTGGACCAGTGCTTAGTCCACTGTACCACTAGGGCTCCTTGAGGCCAGGAAAGGTTTGGTAAATCATCTAGGCTTATCTCTTCCCTTCTGAGCCTACTCTTCTCCCACCATCAGCCTTCTCCCCTGGCCCCCATTCAACCAAAGCAGTGGGCAGGGTGGTGGCCAGCAGAGGCCAGGGTGGCTCTTCCATGAGTCTCTGCCCTGTGTCTTGAACCCCAGTGGCTGGACCTGCACCTGAACCAGGAGATCCCCACGTCACTGCTGATCCTGTCACGGGCCATGTACCTCCCAGACACCCTCTCACCTGCCGACCAGCTCAAATCTACGCTGCAGACCCTGCCGGAGATTGTGGTACGTGGATGGTGGCAGGGGGCCCCGAAACACTGAGCTCCTCAGCCCTGGCCTTCCACTTCTCTGCAGCCACTGAACTCCTCCCCACCTCCCACCTTTCCCTGGCTTCCCCTGCTTCCGCCTCGCCCTCCTGTGTAGTGCAGCCAGCGAGCTCCAGCTGAGGGAGTCCAATGTCAGCCCGCTGCTTTTGGGCACGTAGTCCTTACCGTAGTCCTTACACTGACTGCCTGGAGCCTCATCGCTGGGCTTCCTTTGGGTGTCAGGAAGTTGTTTCCAAACTCGGCAGTAGGTGACCGACTGCCTTCCCAGTCGCCACAGTTCTGGGGGGGTGGTACTGTGACGCCCTAGCGTGGCAGCTCAGTTGGGCCTGGGTCGGGTCCTTGTGGCTATTGCATGTGTGGGGGCCTCCGCCTTGGGAGATGGTGACTTGAGCCCCCCTCCTCGTAGGCGAAGGAGGCTCAGGTGAAGGCGGCTGAGGTGGAGGGCGAGAAGGTGGACAACAAGGCGAAGCTGGAGGCCACGCTGCAGGAGGAGGAGGCCATCCAGCGTGAGCAGAAGGAGAAGGAGTTGCAGAAGTTCACTGAGGTGGCGGTGAGTGTTGGCAGGGCTGCCAGCAGGGATACTCGGCCCTGTTGGCCCTGAACGGTGAGGCCACCATGCTCTGGGCACAAGCCAGTGGGTCACGTGCTGCTGCTCTGTTTGTGTGGGGACTGCCGTTTCGGGGTCCCGTAGGAAGGGCTCCCAGAGGTACTCAGTGCGAGTGTAGGCTGGCCTTGGCCTAGGCGGGGCTTGGGCTCTGTGCTGCAATGAGGTGTCGCAGGACGCCCCTCCCTGGCATCCCTCCGGTTGTGCAGAGGCGGTGCCCTGGACTGCTCTCACCGACGGCAGCCTGGCTGTATCTAAGATCGAGTGAGGATGTGTTTGCTTTTACATTTTTCAAGACGGAGGTCTCTGAGAATTTCAAGATCCCAGGAAAGATCTAGAAACCCTCGCAGGGACAGTTGGTGATGAAATAGGGAACCTGGCCCAGTGTGTCTCCCTTGTTGCCAGTGCCTGTCAGTGCAGAGGGGCCAACTCCGGCACAAGCTGGGGTCACTGGGGGTTCCCTACTTGTTCTCAGCAAAAACACCTACATCTGGTTTAGGAGTCTCTGTGTATCTGTTACAATTAGGTTTATCTTACGTGTGAATGTAAGGGGACTGCACATCGTGCTGCCTTGCAGGGACGGGAGTGTGCACTGTGGTGCATTGGAAAGGGGGTATGTGCGCTGTGCTGTGTTGTAGGGGTGGGGTTACGCACTGTGCCGCGTTGCAGGGTGGGGGTGCGCTGTGCTGTGTTGTAAGGGTGGGGTTACGCGCTGTGCCGTGTTGCAGGGTGGGGTGGTGACCACTATTGCATTGCAGAAGGAAGTGGAGCCTGAGGTGGTGGCGGATGTGCCCCCTGGGAGGCCTGTGGTGGAGCCCCGGCCTGAAGTGCCTGAGGTGATCTTACCTGATGAGGTGCTAAAGGACACTGCCCCCGTCCTGGAAGGCGTGAAGGTAATAGCTGTGTGCCCCCCACACACACTACACGGTCTGAGGGAAGGGGAGGGCAGGGAACCAGGGAACCAACCAGTAGGAGTGTGACACACTGCGAGCGTCCCACAGTGCAGGGCGTGGGTGTGGGGCAGGGACAGGCTGACTAGGGTGGTGTTGCCGTGGGGAGTGGCTTGGACGGGAGTCATAGGACTGGCATAAGCGGACCGTGCTCGGGTGCTCTGAAGTGGAGGCGACAGGATCTCAGGGAGGTCAGATGTGAGTAAAGAGTTGGTTAGGGCTGGAGCGACTGGAAGGAGAAGCTGCCCAAACTGCTGGCTGGGCTTGTGTGCCCACAACACTCTGGTGGCCCCACCCTGCCTCCCCTTGCTCTGGATGACGGGCACGGATGGGCCCCTTGTCAGCTGGGCTGGGGCGGGGGTGCCAGGAAGAGAAGAGGAGGGGATAAGGCACTGTGGATCCCAGAGGTGCTGTGGGTGGGGAGGGCAGGGGACATGGTGGAACAAGGGCCTCCCAGAGCCAGCGAACCTCCTCTTGGAGCACAATGAGATATGTGTGTCCTGGTGGGCAGAGTGGGTTTCCTGGGCCTGGCTTGTCTAGTGGAGACCACCTCACTGGTGGCCCCAGGCTCACAGGAGTCACTCCTGAGACTGGACCCAGGAGACAGGCCTTACACAAACATGATGTCACATTTTATGGCCACCACACAGCTTCAGTGACACGATCCCTGGGCCTGAGCCACGGAACATTGGGTGCCCAAGACACTCTGAAGGAAGAGGGGGCAGGGACCTGCTCTGTCGTTAGTAGGGACTTGGGATAAAGCTGAAGGAACCCTGGTGAGATCGTGAATGACTGTAACCTTGGTACCCGCCGGGCCGCTCTGCCCTGTCCTGCCAGGTTGTTGGGAGTTGGATTTGGCATGACAGTGTGCATTGGATTTGGGGCGGTAAAACTAGGAGTTAGGGCAGTGCGGGGCTGCAGCCCAGGTAGAGCCTCGGGGCTAGGATGTGGTCATGGTGGAGCAGGTGTTGGCCAGCTAAAAAGGAGGGACCCTTGATAGGTTGGGACAGGACAAGGTGACTGTGGACACAAGCGGCGCCCATTCCCAGTAGCTTAAAATGGCTCCGTGAAGGGAAAACGTGAGAGCTCTCTGGAGGGTGTTAAAAGACTACCTTCCGGACTAAGATCGCCAGAGACTTCGTAAGAAGTACAAGCCTTTAAAAAATTGCAACCATGAAAAAACCAGGGACCTTGTTCCTATCTGCCAAGGCAAATGTGTACTTGGTCCATGTTGGGCAGCTGTCAGGAGTGGGAGGCATGTGGAAAGCCCCGTATCAGGGCAGGAGATCGTCCCCCAGAGACCCCAGGCCACAGGCTTCTGTGATGAAGTCTACTGTGAAGTCAGACGTGTAAGGAGGACGCAATTGCAGTACGACAATGGGGATGTTTTTCATCTCATTCTACGGAGCGAGTCTGGTCCAAACCACACATTGATGCATTGTGATGAGAGAAGAGAACTGCAGCCCACGTCCCTCCCAGACACAGATGGGATGGTTCTCAGGTCTCAGATGCAACAACAGATGAGAAGAGCAAGCGTGCTCTGGTCCCAGGACTACAAGCTGTATAAAGTCAAAAAATCCATCTATTCCGTAATGATCAAAGAACAGGATAAAGAGCATCCGCAGGAATCTGCCGAGTCAATTCCAACTCCCAGCAATCCTGTAGGACAGAGCAGAACCAGCTCAGAAGGTTTCTGAGGCTGGATCTTTACGGTGCAAACAGCCAAGTCTTGTATCCTGCATGGTGGCTGGTGCATTTGAACCATTGACTTTTCAGTTAGCTGTTGAGCAATTAACAGTTGCGCCACCAGGGCACCTTTTACAAAGTGACATAATTCTTAATGGTGATATGCACTCATGAGGGTGCCTGGCCACTTCTAGTAAACAGTGCACTGGAGGTTGTTGTAAGGTAGGGAAAAAAACAGACAGAGATTGGGAAGGGGAGCAGAAAAGTGTCTATTTGCAAATGACATGATCATATAAAATTCTTTTGTCCTCATTCGTATTTCTGTGTGCTAGTCATGGGCAGAAGGGACCAGTCCCTGGAGAAGGGCATCATGCTGGGTAAAGTGGAGGGTCAGCGAAAATGAGGAAGGCCCTCAGTGAGCTAGATCGACACAGTGGCTGCCACCATGGGCTCAGACATCACAACTGTGAGGCTGACCCAGGACTGTTCAGTTGGACACACGATTGCTATGGATGGAACTAATTCAACAACACCAACAACAGCAAGAATGAGCAGTCAGATGGAAATTGAAAAAATATAGATATACATACATATGTGTGTGTGTGTATAGATAATATTGGCAGCAGTACGAAAAAATACTTTGGAATACATTTTTTAAAAAGATATGCAGGGTTTGTATACTGAATACTATAAAGGTAAATTTACAAAGACCTACACAGGTAGTGATTTGTGGAGGATAATAACACATCGTTGTTAAGATGTCAGTTTCTTCCTCAAGTAATCTGGAGACTCAGGACTATCCCAATGAAAATCCTTACCAGGCTTTTTGTTGAAGATGATGAGCTGAATGTAAAATTCACTTGGAAAGGCGGGGGACCCACACTTGATCCAGAACAGCTGCAAACAAGAGCAAGACCAACAGCCGCATTGCCATAGCCACCTGACTTTAGGATTGAAAGCTGACGTGATGCTGGCGTGAAGACAGGTAAATAGATCAGTGGCACGGAAGAGAGCGTGTGTGTTGACACGGACGAGTGATTTTCTACAAAAGTGCCAAGTTCAGCAGGGAGAGGGCAATTTGTTGGAAAGCCACATGCAAAAACACAAAGCTGAATTCTTCCTTAACACAACGCATTCACAAGTTCACTCCAAATGGATCACAGCCGTGTAAGTATAAGAAAGTAATGCCATCAAAACTCCTAGAGAAAAGTTAATAAATACACCAAACCATTGCTGTTGAGTTGATTTTGAGTTCTAGAGACTCTAAAGGACAGAGTTGAACTGCCCCATAGAATCTCCAAGGCTGTCATCTTTATGGAAGCAGACTGCCGCAGCTGTCTCCCACAGAGCAGTGGGTGGATTTGAACTGCCAGGCAGCCATGTGCTTCAGCACTACCCCACCAGAGCTCCTAGGAGAAACTGCTTCTGCTGCTGTATGCCATCAAGTTAGTTCCCATTCATAGCAACCCTGTGTAGGGTTCCAAGGCTGTGAATCTTTACTGGAACAGAAAGCCTCATCTTTCTCCCGAGAAGCAGCTTGTAGATTAGAACTGCTGACCTTGGGTTAGTTACCCAACATATAACTCGCCAGGGCTCCATAGGAGAAAAACCTAGTGACCTTGAATTTGTCCTACATTTCTTAACTAGGACATAAAGAGCATGTTGTTAAGTACTGTTGAGCTGTTTTCTGACTCACAGCGACCCTGTTGGGGTTTCAGAGGAGTAACTAACTGGCAGGTTTGAACTGCTGACCTTGTGGTTCGCAGTCCCGTGCTTATCCTAAAAATCAAAATATCTGACTTCATCAAAATTAGGAACTTCGGCTTCAAAAAAATGCTTGTGGAAACAAAAAGGCAAATGATGGGCAGGGAGAAAAAAGTTCACAAAACAGAATAAGCTATCTGATGTATTCATAGACTGTACAAAGAGCTCTTACAGCTCAACATATTGAAAGGCAAATCATTCGCTTTTTTAAAAAGAGGGTCCCCAGATAGCCAGTGGGCCTGTGTATGGTGAACAGTATCACCACTCACTAGGGAAGCACACCACCCACTGGGAGGGGGCCTGACATCTAAGACAACGTTCCAAGTGCCCGTGTAGACTCAGGTAGACTAGGGCCCTCATGCATGCTGGTGGGAATGCCATATAAGCCAATTTGGGAAAGTGTAATAATTACCTAAAACGTTCAACGTTGGCATACCACGTGACCCAGTCACCTATTCCTGGTAGTTCCCTACGGCTTGCCGATGAATGTTCCTGGCTCTTTTATTTATAATCATTGAAAACTGGCGATGAGGTAAGTATGTCAAAAGTAACAGATAAGCAAAGCCTGGCAGAGCCTTACAACGGAATACTACTCAATAATGACTAAGGAACACTCCCCGGCTGGCTGCTGTACGGGTCCATTTATCTAAAACTCTAGAAAACTGAGTGACGGGGCAGGTGAGTGGCTGCTTGACTGAGGGCAGGAGGGAGAAATCACAGTGCGGGCACAAGGAAATCTTGGGGGGTGATTGAGGCTCACTGCTGGACTGGGATGGCTTCACGCATCCGTACGTAAGCCTAAGCAGGTCAGCACAGTTCCGTGCGAGAGGCCTGGGGACTTGAGGTGTGTACCCTGAACTGGACTCTGGGCCACATGTGTCCCTTGTGCATCTGACGTTCCTGTTACTGACACGTCAGCAGTGAGCACCTGTGTAAAGTGCCGTGTTGACTGCCGTGCTCTCTGTGACTCTGAATGGAGAGCTCAGCTGGAAACACTGTCAGGTGCCTGTCTTCACTGAGGGTCTCCTTTGCTGACGTCTCAGGGGGAGGAGATCACGAAGGAAGAAATCGACATCCTCAGCGACGCCTGCTCGAAGCTGCAGGAGCAGAAGAAGTCCCTGACCAAGGAGAAGGAGGAGCTGGAGGTGCTGAAGGAGGACGTGCAGGACTACAGCCAGGTGAGGGGCCAGGAAGTGGGATGGTGTGCTGACCTCAGGCCTGCGTCCGCTTTGTTTCTAAATGGGGGGTGCACACAGTAAAAACACTCAGCTGCCCACCCACAGGATGGAAGTGGAGTCCACCCAGCTCTGCTCCTCAGAAGAAAGGACTGGCGATCTGTTTCTGAAAAATCAGCTCTCACACACACGGGGGCGCTGTGGGTTTGGTATCAAATGAGTGTCTGGCCACTTCAGAGTGTAGATGGCATTTTCACTCATGATTACCCGGGAGACTTCACTCGTAAGTCATAGTTCTCTTTGTCTCTCTTTTTAAATTAAAATTAAAAAATGTTTCTGACATTTCTAAATATTGCTTTTAGAACTGACTTAAAGAGTTCTTTGTTCACACTCAGCAGGGGAAGTTGGCTAAGTTTGCAATTGGTAAAAATACGGCATCCTTTTCTGGGTACCCCCCTAGTTGAGTCCTTGCCCTGCCCTTTCTGTCCTCCCCTGCTCTGCCCCTTGATGTTTGCTGCTGGGTAGAACTCATGAGGGATGCAAGAAGACACCTGGACTTACTGATTCTTTCATTCGTTCGTGCATTTCTTACCCCTTTATTGTGATTTGTGTGAAAGTTTACAGAGCAAATTGGTTTTCCATTCAGCAGCTCATGGATATTTTGTTTCTTGACATTGATTACAATCTCCACAGAATGTAGCAGCAGTCCTCTCCCTTCCTCCCGTGTTTTCCTGTTTCCATTCATTCTTTTCCTTTCCTTTCCTTTCCTGCTTTCTGAGTTTATCCCCAGGCCAATGCTGCCCTTTGGGCCCCTGTGCGTTAGTGTTACTGATCCCCTGTGCTCTTGTCTGTTGTTTTTCTGAATGTGAGCCATGGGGGTGCTTCTGGAAGCTTCTCATTTCTTACATATTTTTATTTTTAAAATTTATTTTGTTGTTGTTGAGAATCTACACAACAGGACATACATCAGTCCCACTGTTTGTAACGATTCAGTGGCACTGGTTGCATTCTTGGGTTTTGCCAGTGTCCTCACCCTCCTGAGTTGTTCACCTCCATTCCCATAAGCTCACTGCCCCTAAGGTTCCCATATATGTGAGCATAATGCTTAGGCCATACTCGTTTATTCTCTGACAAATAGGAAGAAACTTGAGTTTCAAAACAGATTTCGTTTCCTTGACTAAGAAAACAATGTTGGAGTCTACAAAAATAAAAACAAATTTGAATGATAAATACACACAAACGGCAACTTTCCGTGGTAGGACTCAGTGGATTTCCTGTTTCTTACAGAACTTGGAACTTTCCATGTGCATGATGCCAGTTTGGATTAAGTTAATTCGTCCTGCAAGAAACTTTTTTTTTTTTTTTAAAGAAAAATCACTGGTTTACTGTATTTTGCATATTGAATAATACAAGACTTTAACAAATTAAACATACATCATGTAGAACCCCTGGTGGCACTGCAGGACAAGCACTGGACTGCTACCCCCAAGGTTGGCAGTTCAAACTCTCCAGCATCTCTGAAGGCAAACCAATGAGGCTGTCTGCTCCTGTAAAGATTTGCAGCCTCTGAAACCCTGTGTGGCAATGGGTGGGTATACATCATATCACATGGGAGGGAAAATGCTAGAAAGATACAACGTGCTGGTTCATTAAGAAGAACCAGACCATGTGCTCCAATGTACATTACATTCTTGTTGTTAATGCCATCGAGTCAGCCCCGACTCACAACAACTCTGTATAGGGTTTCCGAGGAACAGCTGGTGAGTTTGAACCGCCGACCTTGTGGTCCAGTGCTTATCCTATGGTGCCACACCAGGATTCTACTACATTCTTAGAGGACCCTTAAGCTTTGTCTGTGGGCCCTTTTTTTTTAAGTTCTCTAAAATTCTCTGCCCTGCATGCACCATGTTGTAGTATTTAAACACCTGTTGTTTTATCATCTTGGGTTCTTCTTTTTATGTTTGGTGGGTTTTTTTGTTTTGTTTTTTCTTTTTTTAAGTGGTGGTGGTTTTTCTTTTTTAAGACAACCTTCTTCAAAACATAAAATAATCTTGTTAGGATTTGCAAGAGATCAAGAAAGAACTCTCAAAGACGGGCGAAGAGAAGTTAGTGGAGGAATCTAAAGCCAGCAAGAGACTGACCAAGCGGGTTCAGCAGATGATCGGGCAGATCGATGAGATGATCACTCAGCTGGAGACGGAGCAGGAGGCCGGCAAGCTACCATCCAGCCAGGCCTCGCCCACGGGGTGAGTTCAGGACCTGGGGGCCAAGCCGGGGAACTTCTGACTGGGAAAGCCACGCCATAGCTGATACTGATAGGGGGCCTGCTGACTCCAGAGTTCACATCTTAACTTCTGTGCTGAGCTGCACTGTGGACCCAGCGTGGTTCTAGTGGAACCAGGCTTTACCTGTGACTGGCACCACCAGCCACACCTTGATGACCACCTTACCGAAGTACAGTTGACGTTAGAACCACATGGCCCACCTTACCGAAGTACAGTTGACGTTAGAACCACATGGCCCACACGTATGTGGGCTTTTTCTCCTGTTGCTATTGCAGTGAACTCAAGTGGCGAATGTTAAAAATGCTGCCCGACACCAGTCCTCTGGGCCTCTGCTCTAGAGAGATGGGCTGCTCCCACAGAGATGCATGATGAGGACGTGCGGCCTTTTAAACAGCCACGACTCCTGTGCTCCCCTCAGTAGCAACAGGAGAAAAAGTCCACGTGTGAGGGGCTTGGGAGGCTCAAACCCCTGTGATTCCAAAAGTAATCTCTTCTCTACGTGTCCCTATCCCCCAACACCACTGTCCCAGCTGCCACCAGCTCTCGCCTGGGGGAGCCTCAGTTCTGGCCCCTCTGGGCTCCCTTCATCTCTCTCCAAGCTGCAGCCAGATGAAGCTTTCCTGAATGTGTACGGGGGTGCCTGGCTCCCCTGTCAGCCCTGGCATCTGCCCCTGTCATGCTCCAGCCCAGGCCGCATGGGACACACCTCTTTCCTCTCCCTGAAGCTCCACACCCACATGGGTAGGGAGTGTGTCTCCTTTGGGTCCCAGGCAGCCGGCATTTCCTAAGGCTGCATTCAGCATTTGCAGCCACAGTAGCTGGCCTGCGGAGAATACTTCCGGGGCCCGGCGCTGGGCCCTCCACTCCTCGCCTCCCATGGCCTTCCAGACCCCTGAGGCAGGTGTCGGGCAGGCCAGCTCCACAGCCCCCTCCTGACCACTTACCTCCCTGACCCTGCTCGTCCTCCAGGTCCCTGCTCATGGATGCCTTCCTCCACCCCCAGACGAGGTCAGTGTCCCATTTGGCTTAGCCTGCCGCGCTCTTGCGTGTCCGCCCCCCCATTCCCTGTCCCCTGTCATTCCAAATCCATGGTGCCGGAGGGCACGGGCCTGGCACTCAACGCCTCTGTGGGACCCCAGCCCTCTGGCTTCAACCAGTGGCGAGGCCAGGCGAGTGGAGGCTGGTCCCTCAGATGGAAAGCATCCAGCCAAGCAGAAAAGGTGGTCTCTAATCTGTCTGGCCGTGGGAGAGTCCTGAGGAGGCCGCCAGGGTCTGTTCCACTGCCTGACCCCGGCCCCATGGCAGGCTCTGCTTCCCCCAACCCCTAGGGAGGACTTCATCAGTGTCACCGAGCTCATCAGTGCCATGAAACAAGTGAAGCACATTCCTGAGAGCAAGCTGCTAAGCCTGGCCTCCGCACTGGATGAGAACAAAGACGGCAGGATCGACATCAACGACCTCACCAAGGTGGGTGGCCGGGCCACTCGGCGCAGACCACAGAGGGCAGGAGTGTGGATGGGCTGGTGGGGCAAGCTCACTTGGCACCTGGCTCTTCTTTCCTGAGCCGGGTTCTGAGTGCCCTTCCGCGTGGGTTCCAGGGAGCAAGATGTCCGAGCTGGACGCTAGCCCACCTGGGGGACTGCGTGCAACACATTAGTGAGCCACCTGCTTTCTGACAGGACACCTGGCTGTTCCCATTCCCAGCAAGGCTCCGGGGCCACAGAAACCACGGTGCAGGGAGGCTCTCACCCCTGAGGGAGGCACCCTTGGGTTCCACACAGGTTCCCTGCTGCCCGCGCAAGCTCAGTCAGCCAGCGCCTCTGTGGGGGAGGCAGAGGCAGAGCGCCTGTGTGCACCTGGCAGAGAGGCCGGAGCCTCCCTGAGCGGCCTGTGTCTCTGCCTGTGAATGCAGATGCTCGAGCTGATTGACAAGGAGGACGTCCACATCTCCACCAGCCAGGTGGCTGAGATCATGACGATGCTGGAGAAGGAGGAGAAGGTGGAAGAGAAGGAGAAGGCCAAGGAGAAGGCTGAGAAGGGAGCCGCCGAGGTGAAGAACTAGGCACTGGGGTGGGGCTCCCACCCAGCCTGTGCCTCCACCACCCTCCCCTCCTCTCGGCACCACGCCACACCGTCGGCCCACAGCCCATAGTGATGATGGCGTGAGGTGGTTGCTTAGTGACAAATCTAGTGTTTTTCTGGAATAAATCAGAAACTTCCATAATCAGGTAAATTTTAATTTTCCATCATTCCATGAAGATCCCATCAGTCTGGACCCTGCACCCCTCCTGGGATCTCCTGCAGGGAAGCGGCCCTGCCCTGGAGCCCAGGTGGGCAACCTGCCGGTGTCACAGCCATACCCAGACTCCCAGCTCTGAGGCATGCAGGGGCAGGAGAGCTGCCCAAGGGATGCATTTGAGTAGAAACTCTATCAAAATAGCCCTGCTCAGCTCTGAAGAAGCCACTTGGATGAGTCTGTGGACTTTTGATTCCTAAATGTCTGTGTAAATACGACTTGGTCATGTGGATTTTCAGTCAGACCTGTGTAAGGAACACGAGACGTGATGGTAACAGTTGCACTCCCGGGGTCTCCGTCATGTGTACCCCCTCTTCACCTTTGGTTTCCACCTAATGCTTCAGCCAGTTCATTCACTGTCTGCTGAACTTGGGAGGCTTCCTAATGTCATTCTGCTCCCACTCACTGATGAAGCACTTGAGAATTGAGCGTTTCCAGTGTGAGTAATTGATTGTGTGCTGGTTTTAAGAAGTCTTCTATTGTAGATCGTCTGTTTTCACTGTGACCCTGGGTGGTTGATTTCTCAGGAAGGGGTGGACAGACGCTCTGAGGGGCCCTGAGTGGGTGCACCCCTTGAGATCTTTTGAGTTCCACTCCCCAGCACAGTGGTGTGTCTTGAAACACCCACTTTTGGCCTCTGTGGTTTCTTAGGTAACATTTAGACACCGTAGGCCCCAAGGAGGGTGTACAGGATGGCAGGTCGTCATTCCCTCCCGGCTTTCCAGATTGCTTTAGAACCAGCAGCTACTGGACCTACAGCCCTGGTGACCACCTGGCGTGAGACCACTGAGTCACCGGTAGAGAGAGGTAGCACCCTGGGGTGACACAGTGTCTCCGCGCTGTCCCTCGTGCCAGCTGCCTCCCCCACAGTGACTGCTGCAGTGTGGAGAGGCCCCCCACGCCTCCCACAACTTCACGGCAGACCAGTGCTGACATAGGAGTGTGACAAGCATAGGAATGGAGGCCATGGGGGTCAGATCGGCCAGGAAGTGGGGAGAGGGGCCTGGAAGGCAGAGCCTGGAAATGACTTGAACCCTTTTTTTCACGTGGCCGGTAAAGAAGAGGCTTTACAAAATAGGAACAGGATGGTTCACGTAAACCCATGTAAAGGATTCCTTGGATCCTAAAGGTTTTTATACGTCAATGATTTGAAAGTTTCGACGGGTCCTTAGTATTTATATTATTTTAAACTCACTTTTAGTAGCCTGGTTTTCCGCTGTAAAAGTGTACTTACCTTTTGAAAATAAGCTTTGCAGTTGCCAAATGTGCCCGACAAGACAAAAGCAACTTTTCTTTCAAACCGTGTGTCTTTGTGTGGGACCTGCTTTGGCGATCCGGTGTGCCATGTCCTCCTCGTCAGTTTGGCCAGGCATACCACCTCTGCCGTTCCATCCATCTCCTGTCTACCCTGGCTGCACACGGGACTGGGTGCCGTGCATTTTTCTCTGCTCCAGACTTCCCCACACACCTGCCACCATCTTTCCCCATGGACCAGAGAATGGAGGAGGGGTGTCATGTGATGAGATGATGCTCTCAAGCTTAGTTAAGAGAAAGGCTCTATTCTACGTGGAAACGTTGCTCAGTTTTAATAACCATGTGAGTGGTCTGAGACGAGCACTCTCCCCTTGTCATTCTGTGTTTTCACTGGACCAGATGTTATTGATTAGCCGACCTGAGTTCACAGGTGCTGGTGTGTGTACAACAGTGGGCCTGGGAATGAGCGTAACGAAGGTGGCCTCCGTGTGGTGTCCAGGTGGCTGGGCTTCCTCTGCCTTTTTAGCCGGAAGCCGAAATGGAACTTTTAAAAACACGTTTCTCTTCCACTCCACCTCAATGACCCCCCTTTTTTTTTAAGTAGGGAATCAGAAAACTGACGTGGGGCTTTGAGCATCATTATGGAAGCCAGATTCCATACTTTTATAAACGAAGGGCCCCTTGGTAATTTTTGGAAAACAACCTCGCCACCAGAGGTTCTCCAAGTGCAGCCCTGTGGGGAGACTCGGGAAATGCCAGGTTCTCTGCCCACCCAGGCCCGAGGCTGGGCATCACCACCTTTTTAGTAAGAGTGTTTTTATTAAAATATCTAATGAATGTAACAGCTCAAAGTATCTCTCTGGGATGTGACACAGAAGAAGTCAGGGCATGAAATGTCCAAGTTGTCATGGTGTTGGCTCAGTGGTGATGGGAAGTCAACTCTAGAAGGAGCCTGGCTGCCTTGGACTGCCCGGCACGCTCCGTTAACCTTCCAGCTCCTTCTGTGGGCTCCTGGCTCGTGTGACCTGTCCCCTCTTGTTCTGTACTCCACCCTGCTGCCTGCCCCTGTGTGTGGTGACGATGGAATAAAGTGATACCTGGATTAACCTGCCTGCCGCGTCGGGATGGGGTTTCTTGTCTGGGCTCACGAGCCACTGTTGCCTGTCTTGGGCCTCCCCTACCTGAGTACTCTGGTGCTGGCGCAGAGGCTCCTGGGACCCAGGCTCGGGCACACAGATTGCCTGCTGCCTTGCCTGAGACCACGGGCCTGTTGGGTGTGGTACCAAGTTAAGGCCCTGGCCAAGTAGTGACCCTCCTGAGGTACAGATTAGCCCTTTCTTCTAAAGTCCTGTGGGTTCTTGGCAGTGGGGGGAGGGGAAGAGCAACAGGGCCAGGTCAAGGGGCAACTTGGGAAAGGTGGGACACTCCCCAGAAAGCCGAAGAGTCATGCTGGGTGGTATACAGCCTGGAGGTGGGCTGGACACGGCCCAGGGAGCCCCATTCATGGGCTTGCTTCTACCCACTGTGTCCTAGAGGGGCAGATAGTGGGACCCAGCCCACAGCTTTGAATGCCAAGAGGTGGGGCGCTCAGTCTGGCTAGGAAAGGTGAACAAGGAGACCCTTGAGGGGCTGCCAGAGAGAAGGTCTCCCTGTAGCAGAATGGGAACCCTGGACTCATCCTCAGCCCTCTCCAGCCGCCTTTGAGGGCAGAGCCCAGGATTACCATCCTCTGTCTTGGGGGGTCTCACCCCTGTGAGTCACTGTTACCACCAGCACAGGGCTCTTCGCCCCCTGCCGAGGTTCCACCCTATTGTGACCTCTGCCCGGCATTGCCCTCTCCCCCTGCTAGGTCCCACCACTGGGGACCATCACTGCTGTCCACCAGGCCTGCCACACTCCATGAGCACACCCTACCTTCCCCATCTTCCTTTCCCAGGGCCCCCTTGCTGCCACCCTGCCTGCAGTTCTCCATCTTGCAGCAAATCCCAAGCGCCGGGTGGGGTGCAAGGGATGCTACGAGCAGCTGGCCCTCCCCCCACGGTCCTGCTTCTGCAGGTGAGCGAGGGCAGAGAACTACCTTGGCACATGCCCTTGGCTCCTCCACTTGGTCCCTGCCCCTGTCTGCTCTGTCCAGACTTCTGCCACCATTTCAGCCTCTGGACTGCGGAATGCTGTGGACAGAGCTTCCTGGAAGCTGTTTTCTAATTTGTCTTCCTGAAAACACCCCACCAAGGTGCAGAGCTGAAGAACAGACAGAAGTGGCTGTTAACAAGGACATCAAAGCCCACAAGCCAGGGAGACTATGAGAACAGACTGTTTCCCTGTTTCTTCCTATGAAAATACCGAAGGGAAAGAGAAGAGTGAAGCTAGTAGCTTCCTGCCTTCTTAGAAAGAAATCTAGACTGATGGACGCAGACATGCTGGAAAGTGCATACTCCACACTGCAGGCCCCCAATGCTGCCTCAAGCAGTCAGCCTCCTCCCAGGAGGGCAGACTTAACCCATAGGACACTGACCAGCAGCCCTGCAGAAAGCCAATGGCGGCCTGAGATTGCAGGAAACTCAAGAAATGCTGACAGACCTATCAGAGGTCCCAGCTGGATTCAAACGACGTAGACTGAGGGATAGCATTGCTCAGATTGATCTTTACTGAGCGCAGAAAATACCAGAAATAGGTTTACCTGTGGTTTATTGACTACTTTGTGGCTCATGACAAGCTATGAACAGCATTGTGGGAAATGAGTATTCCAGGACACTTAATTGTGCCCATGAGGAACCTGTACATGTACCACAAGGCAGTTGTTCAGAGCTAAGGAATACTGAATGGTTTCAAATTAGGGAAGGTGTGCACCAAGGTTGAATTCTTTCACTATACTTATTCAATCTGCTGAGCAAATGATACAAGAAGCTGAATTATATGAAGAAGAACATGGCATCAGGACTGGAGGAAGACTCATTAACAACCTGTGATATGCAGATGATACAACCTTGGTTGCACCTCAATGTAAAGAAAACAAAAGTCCTCACCACCGGACCAATAAATAGCATCAAGATAAATGGAGAAAAGATTGAATTTTCCAAGACTTCATTTTGCTGGAATCTACCATCAACACATGGAAGCATCAGTCAAGAAATCTAACAATGTATTGCATTAGGTAAATCTGCTGCTTCGGATTTCTTTAAATTGTTCAAAAACAACGTTGTCAGTTTGAGGAGGAAGCTGTGTTTGACCCAAGCCATGGTATTTTCAATGCACGGGAAAGCTGGACAGTGAATAAGGAAGACTGCAGAAGAATTGATGCATTTGAGTTACAGTGTTGGAGGAGACTATTAGACCATGAACGGCACAAGAACAAATAAATCTGTTGCAAGAGGTAAAGTCAAAATGCTCCTTAGAAGCCAGGATGACCAGACTTCATCTTTCATACTTTGGACATATTATTAGGAGGGACCAGTCCATGGAAAAGGGCATCATGCTTGGTAAAGTGAAGGGTCAGTGAAAAAGAGGAAGACGCCCAACAAGATGGATTGGCACAGTGGCAGCATCAGTGGGCTCAAGCATAACTGTGAGGTCTGCACAGGACCGGGTAGTGTTTCGTTCTGTTGTGCATAAAGCTGCTATGAGTCGGTAGCGACTCAGCACCTACTAACAACAACAAAGAGACATGGGTGTTGCAGATGGCTAACATGCTGAGCTGTTCACAGAACTGTTTTGAGTCCACCCAGTGATGGATGCCTCAGAAGATCTGCCAAAAACTCAGCCACTGAGCACAGTTCTACTCTGACACACACGGGGGAGCCATGACGCTAGTTTTGGTTTCAAGAGCAATGGCCCGCTGAGTGGCGGACAGATTGTTTCCCGGTAAGGTAAAACGGCGCGTAGTGGTTACGAATCAGGCTGCTAATCTCATGGTAAGCAGTTCGAAACGACCAGCTGTTCTGCGGGAGAAAGATGAGGCTTTCTGCTCCTGGTTAAAGATTTACAGCCTCGGAAACACTATGGAGGGTCGTTATGAGTCGCAACTGACTCCACGGCACTGAACAACAACAAGGTAAGGGCACTTGGGGAAATCGATAATGAACCAGGTATTGTGTGAAAGTGGGCCTGACTCGCTGTGTGGGAATGTGTCTTTGTTCTTCAGAGATGCCCGCTAAAACCCTTATGTCCAGATGGTTCCAGAACATACTCCCATATCTCCTCACCCTCCAGTAATGGGATAAAATGATGGTGACTAAAGGTGGAGGTTGGGGTCCGTCAGCCCCTGACTCCTCCCTCCACCCCTTTTAGAGGTTTAAATGTTTCACAATAAAAGGCTGGGTGCAAATTCCGAAAACCACACTAGGTCCAGGGGCCAGAAACGAACATCAGGAAAAGGAAGCCCCCAGGAGGGAAAGGCATTTTGGGGAAGCCAGTCCAGTCCAGGTGGAGTCTGAGAACGGGGGTCCAGTGCTTAGTAAGCACCGTGCCAGCTCAGGGCTAGGTCAGACTCCACCAGCTAAGGGCTAGGATCTTAGATGGAGAGATGCGGAGTGCAGTGCGGCCACAGGAGAATTCGGGCAGTAAAGATGGCAACAGGGCTCAGCAAGTGAGAGGCGGGGCGGGTCCCCGAAGGAATAGCCTAAGCCGGAGCCAATCAGGTGATGGACAGAGTCGGGGGCGGTGCCACCTGCCCCAGGGCCCGCCCCGCTCTGGCTTTGCGGGCGCACAGCCCTGCTGGATCCGAGCCCGTTCTGGCAGCGTCCCGCGTGGGTGGGGAACAGCCCCAGGACCTGGCCCCTGCGGTCCCCAGGCTCACCCGGGCAGAGGGGCCGAACGAGGAGGCGCTCGGTGGCTATACCCCCCAATCCCTGCGCTCCGAACCCGCATTCCGCCCGACGTCGGGAATGTGGGCCAAGGTCTGGGCGCAGGATGATAGTCACGGTGCATGTTCACAGCACGGGAGGGCGGCCACAAGTGGGCGGAGGGACCTGACTCAGCGGGCAGGAGGCGATTGTCTGCGTGGACTGGGCATTTGGTGGAATCTGTTATCCTGGACTGAAACCCACCGCTGGCCCTCCCCACCTGGAAAGGAAGTGGGAATAGCAAGAGAGCTTCTTGGCTCATCCCCCCCTTTGGGGTTCCGCCCCCACCTTGCTCCCTCATAGGGAGGGGGTGCACCTGTGGCTAGTTGTTAGAACCTCAGCATCTAGCCCACAAGAATCAGGAGCAGCCCAGACATCTGTGTGTGTGGCGAGGGGTGGGGTAGAGTAAGAGATGCTAGTCGACCACAGATAACCTCCAGCTCCACAGGGGACCTGAGACAACCCTCCAAGGGCACCCCTGGAAACCTACCACTCTCCAGCCCCAGTGGAGTGACAAGGCCCCAAGAGCCAGCTGGAGAGCCACAGGGCCCAGATTATCAGCATCCACCAGGGGGCGCTGTATGTCCACAGCTCTTCCTCCTGGAACTCCTGAGGCTGGGATACCTTGGGGTCCCAGTTCTCTAGAGCCCTTGGTGTGTCTGCCTTGGCAGGACTCTACTGTGGGGTCCCATAGATGCAGGTAACAAAGACCACCGGAGACTTCCAGTGCCACATGCAACTGGTCATACAGGACCTCCCTTCCTTTAGGATACATCCACTTATGTTGGGGTACCCCTAAGGCATGACCCAAGCAGTTGGTCCCTCTTGAGCCCTTGGGGAGAACAGTACCTTCCTCTGGGACCCAATGGTTACTGTTCCCTCCACTCTGGTGGCCCTCCCCAGAGTGAACGAAGGAACCCACCCAGATTCTCAGGACACCCAGATGCCTGATGACAGGAAACAAGAAACCGGAGCTGAGGTTTGAACCAGTCGTCTCTTTATTTTTTGGAAACTCTGCCTGCCAGGTTAACAAAAGCAATCTGACAACTTTGGCCCTGAGATCTGAATCTGAGACTGCCTGAATCGCTTGCCCTGCGGCAGCCAGCTCAAGAACACAGGGACAGCCACCCAGATGTGGACACCCATTAACAGTACAAAAAGTAGCAAAACAGAATTTTGTGGATCTCTCTCCCAAGTTTTGAAAAGGTAGCAGCCCAGGCTATAAACATCTAAAGCATTGCGTAAGAAGTGTTAAGTCTACAGCAAATATATCTTGTAAAAACTCAATAAATTATATATATAAGCTTGTAACATCTAATAACATCTGAACCTGCGTACAGGGCCAGCCCCCTTGCTGGAAACTGCCCACACCCAGAACAAGCGGCAAGCAGAACCTGTATGAAAATCCCAACTCATCTGGAAGTCCAAAAAAATTAATCTAAGAAAAACTCCTGCAGAAATCTAAGTCCCCTGGCAAAGAAAATAAAATATCCTCCCTGGAATTACTTCAAAGGAAATGATATTTGAGGGGGCCAACTCTAGCCTGGAGGGGGGGGGGGGCAGGCTGTTTGCAGGGACCCTGCGCCCACTGCCGCGTGTACATTCTTACGATCCCTGTAAATGCGGCATAAATTCTCTCCGTTAATAACTTAAATTTTAAAACTCTGCCGTTTGGCTCGCTAAACATTACAAACATGGCATGGAGAAGGATTCGAGGGTTGATAAATAGCTGTACAAATATACAGTCCAGGTACAATTTTTAAAACAAAACTGTGATAGCAGGTAATTGCCTTATTCTTAGAATGTCTGCATCCCCCATGGGGGCCTCACCCACTGGGGCACCCCCTCCTGCATCCCCAGGGTCCTGGGCCTCAGTTGTACCACCAGCCTTTTTTTCTTCCATATAGATATTTATATATATATTTGTATGTATATATCTCATATACACGGCATTTATTTATATAAATGTACACGCGCTTCTGGAATAAACCTTCGGGTAGAAGTAAAGGCTTTCCTGCTTTCAGGTACCCGTAATTTCAGTCTCTAGGGGACAGGGTGAAGAAAGTAGGGAGGCCTGGAGACTGGGGGGCCTACTCACCGACACTCACCCCCAGCCCACCCCAGGTTCAAAGTGCCACTTGGCAGGAGGCCCATCTCATGGGAGGGGCTCACTCCAGGCTCAGCTTTAGGCAGGGGAGGCGCTGAGGCAGGCCCACCCTGGATGCCCACCCAAGCCCGGCCTGCCCCGTCACATGCCCAGGGGGTGGTTGTGGGAACAGAGAGCAGTCTGGTCCCATTGCCCACCCGCCCCAAGTGGCTCTACAGGGAGCCTCCATACATTCTACATTGAATCCATCCACAATGAAGGTCTCCCGGATGTTTCAGGCATAGGTGGCACTGGGCAGGAAGGTCTCGAATAGCAGCGTGGGGACCCCGAAGGGAACTCCACACCTGAGGGCCGCAAGATTCTCTCTCTCACACAGACACACACACGCATACTCCCACATACGCACAAAGGTTCTGTCTGTCTGTCTATCCATCCGTACTGGTGCCCAAGCCCGGGCCTGGGCCAGTGGGCCCCAGTAATGGACTGCACATGGCAGTGGCTGAAGGGGGCTGGGTCTCACATTGGTGGGGGGGTTGGCCAGATGGCCCTTCACGTCCGAGGGGCCCCGCTGCTGGGGGGCGCGGGCAGCAGTAGGTCATGGGCAAACACGGAGTCATCACCCGAGGAGCCGGAGCTGGGCGTGTCCTGGCCACCAGGTGAGTACTGTTCGAAGGGTACTGACAGGTCCAGGTATTCCTGTAGGCAGGGAGCCGTCAGAGCTGCTGCCCCATGACCCCCTTCCCACCACCTGCCCTAGCTCAGGTCTGCGCCACCCCTCAATGTGGCTTCTCCAGGCTTGGTACTCACATCAGTGGACGTCACAGTGAGAACCCGGTCCAGGTCCTCCACCAGCTGCTTGAAGGTGGGCCGCTGCGAGGGCACAGCGTGCCAACACTCACGCATGATCATATACCTGGCAGGGACAGCGTGCTCAGTCACCCCATGCTCACCCAGCCTGCAGGCCTTCACCCCCAAGCTCACTGAGCTCAGCCGCACCCTCACCCTGCCCTGCTCTGCCAGCCAGTGGGGCCCGTGGAGAGGGGTGAGCTCACAGGTCATGTGTGCAGTTGGCTGGCTTGTCCATGCGGTGACCTTCCTTTAGCAACTTGAAGAGCTCCTCCACCGGAATGCCAGGGTACGGCGAGCCCCCCAGCGTGAAGATCTCCCAGAGCAGGACACCAAAGGACCAGCTGCCAGAGTGGGGCCAACGTGCCATCAGACGGCTAAAGCGGGAAGGGTACTGCCCGGACCCCCAGCTCCTCTCCCCAGAACAATATGCCCCCACACAGCTCCCCCTCCCCCCGGGGCCTGGAAGAGACACGCACACATCACTTTGATGGGTGTAGACTCGATCAAATAAGGCCTCTGGTGCCATCCACTTCACGGGCAGCCGGCCCTGGAGGGGAGACAGAGAGTATGTTTAGCTTCCTTCCAGGTGGCCTCCTGACCAAGGGCCTTGTCTGCCCACCTCCCCACTGCCAGTTGGCTGTTCCCCTCTCCCTCCCTGGACTAGGCTCACATTGGTGGTCTTCTTGTAGTAGTCCAGGTTGTGCACATCCCGGGCCAGACCAAAGTCAGCGATCTTCATCACGTTGTCCTCTGTCACTAAGACATTTCGGGCTGCCAGATCCCTGTGGATACACTGGGACAAGAACCAGGGGCTAAAGCCGGCCCCTCTCATCCCCATCTGCTTTCTCCAAGACCACCTCCATGGTCCCCACCCCACAACCCCATCCTGGGGTCCTTGCCTCCTCCTGCTCACCTTCTGGGAGGCTAGGTATTCCATGCCACGAGCCACCTGGTAGGCACAGGACACCAGGTCCTTGAAGGTCAGCTGCTCCTCGGGCAGCTTGCAGGTATCGAAGGAGTAGTCCATGCCCGGGGGCCGCCGCGCCCGCAGATACTCCCGCAGATTGCCTTTGGCTGCATATTCCACCAGCACGTACAAGGGCCCTGCAAGTCCCACCCATCAGAGGAGAGCAGGGTCCAGAAAGGGAGAGCCCCTGGTCACCTGCTTTTAGGGACCCGGTTTCCCCGAAAGCCTGGTACCTACCGCCCTGTGTGCAGGCCCCCAGTAAGTTGATGATGTTTTTATGTTTGCCAATCATCTTCATCATTTCCATCTCTGACACAAGATCCGAGAGGTCCTTGTCTGTGGCATCGTCTACTCGAGGAAGAAGGGAGTTCAGTGCCTGCTGCCTCCTCCGGCCCCCAGCTCTGACACAGTCTACCCACCCCCCATCTCCCACAGCCTTCCCTTCTCACCTTTCAGCATCTTCACAGCCACGGTGACAGGTTTGGCAGTACGCTCTTTGTCAATGCCGATGGCCTCCGCCATGACCACTTGGCCAAAACAGCCCTCCCCCAAGGGCTTGCCCAAGGTCAGCCTGGTGGAAGGAGCAGGAGGCAGGATGAACCCTTCCATTTTCCCCTAGCCCTGCCACCTCTGGGAAGCCCTCCACATTCAGCCTCCAGACAGGGCCCCTACGTCACGGATACCTTCTGCTGGCCTGGCCTCCTCCATGCATCTATGTCCTCTGTGTCCTGACTTCCAGTTGACTCTGTCACCACACCACAAGACCCTCCACACCACAAGACCCCACCCCATAAATGCCCGTGTCCCTCACCCCTTGCTCAAGTCGGGTCCTGTAGCCTCATTCCCCTACACACCCTTCCCCCATCACTGTCTGCCCAGATTTCCCCACCACAAATGACTCGCACTGACCGGGCCCGGGACAGTTCCCACTTGGGATCAGCAGGCAGCTCAAGTTCAGAGACATTGGCCAGCGCAGGGCCCTCGCCTGAGGACAACCGAGCAATGCGCACCAGTGGCGTGTTGGAGTTCATGGACGAATTGGACTCCAAGGACACCTGCTTGGGTGGAAAGGGCCAGGTTGGTGCCAAGGGGCACAGAACAGGGGAGGTACGGGCAGGGCAGGGGACGTAGGGGCAGGGCAGGCAGGGGCACGTTCAGGCCCCTGGGAGTATGACATGAACACCTTTTCAAAAGTATTTGTGTCGCAAAAACACCAGGCCCCCCGTGGTGAGTTTGGAGGCAACAGAAAAGGAAGGGTTATAGCCCAGCGTCCTGGGGCAACCCCACACCAGCTCAGAGAGACCAGACAGAGCATTTCTGCTGTGAAGGGCTGAGGGGTGGACCCTGGGCTGGCTCAGAACCTGGTATCTACTTTCTGTTACCTGTCGCTTGAGTGGGAAGCGGGAGATCTTGTGCACGGTGGGCGAGCCCAGGCCCTTCTTGGTCGGGCTGCGTAGCCGATACAGTGTCACAGTCACCACCACCAGGACGAAGGAGAGGAAGCCCAACCCGTAGCTGAGGATGCCTGTGTACACGCTGTCTGCTTCATCAGCCTCTACCAGCCCCTCCTCAGCTGCAAAGACACGGGCATTGGGGCCCACAGTGCAGCGGAGCGCCGGCACCAGCAGGGGCGAGGAAGGGGAACTCGGCCCCTCTCGGGGACCAGGGCTGCTGGGGGACAAGGGACCGAGGCCTCAATGCCTCCACTCGGTATATAGTTCTACACTTGGAAGCACCTATGAGCAGGGAGGAGGCAGACCCAAAGGAGAAGGAGCCCAGCAGAGTCAGCAGCACCCACCGCCACCCAGGCACCTGAGAGATGCCAAAGCCACCGATGCAGGGCTACTAGGGGACAATGGGGGGCTCAAAGGGATGCCCCTCTGAAACCACGACAGGACCGGGTACAGGACCAGGCATGTGGGTTCCAAGGAGAGGACGGCTCAAAGCCGCTGGAGTCCCCAGCCTGTGCTCGGCGGCTGTGGCATGCTCCCAGGCAGCGCCTAGCGCCCAAGAGGACAGGAGCAGAGCGAGCAGCGTTGAGAAGCCAGTACCTGGCAGCACCACCAGCCACGCAGAGTGATGAGAAAACCCGATAGAATTGCCCGCCAGACACGTGTACTCCCCCGCATCCTCAAAGGTGACATTGCGTAAGGACAGAACCTCTAGCTCCTTGTCGGTGGTGTTAACGCCCGCCGTCTACAAAGAGAGAAGAGAGTGCGATAGACGAGCACCAGCAACCCCACAGGCTCAGCAGCCATGTCCACGCGGCGACGATCCAGCCAGGCTGCAAGGAAAACGCCGCACGCCGCTGCCACCACCGCCGCCACCACCACCACCACCACCACCACCGCTGACGATGCCGACGCTACAGCAGCGCCTCCTCGGGCGCCGCGGGAGCCCGAAGCCAAGGCCCTCCACCGGCGAGTCCTCTGTCCCAAGTGAGCATCAGGCGTGCGGCCAGCAGCGCGCCCGCACGGGTGCACCATGCGGCATTAGGGGTTAGCACGGTGACTAGGGCAGAAATGCAGGTGGGCGGCCAGACAGAAGGGTAGACAGACAGACAGACAGACAGGAAGTGAGCGGGCAGCACAGCCAGTGGCTGGAGGGGGAGGGGAGCTGACAGCCAATGCTCGCAAAACAGCGTGGAGGGCAGCCCCTGCTGGCATTGGGCTTCCTGGGGGCATATAGGGGTGTGGAGGGTTGGCGCAGGTCATCATGGTTCAGACACACTGGAAGCAAAAAGGAGCCGGCAAGTTCAGGAGGCGGCCAGTGGCACGGGGTGGGGAGCGAGCAGGACGAGCGTGGGCATGCGGGCAGATGGGCGAGTGTGCGGGCAGGCGCATGGCCAGGGCATTGGAGCCAGAGCTCGGCGTGCCAGGCAGGCGTGGGACAGAGTCGTTACCTGCTGGGGGCCCGTGAACACGCAGCCAAAAGGCCTTCTCGGCCACGCCTATGAAATTGGTGGCTCGACAGAGGTACTCGCCTCCGTCCCGCTCGGACACATTGGCCAGGCGGAGGCGCGCGTCGGCCTCCGTACTCTCACTGATCCAGGACTGCGGGGACAAGAGACCCGGCTCAGGCGTGCCCCGCGGCTGCCCGCGCCAACCCTGGCTGGGCTGCGGTGGCCTCGGCCAGGTGTGAGTGCAGTGAGGCACCAGTCTGGCTCATCACTTAAAGGACGGCCAGTTCCCAAGACTCTGTGGGCTTCTAAGGAGGGAGGAGGTGGGAGACCCCCAAGGAACAGATGTGGGGGCCAGGATGGGACCTCGAAGAGGGTCTCACAAAACCAAAAGAAAAACCCAGACCCACTACCAACAGCAACAGAATTTCCGAAACTGTCAATCATTCCGGGAGCAGACAGCCTCCTCTTTCTCCCATGGAGTGAGCGGCTGGTAGGTTTGAACTGCTGACCTTGCAGTTAGTAACCCAACATTACACCACCAGGGCTCCTTTGGGGTCTCATAGGAAGCACCTTTTCTGCACCTATGCCCTGTAACAAAGCCCAGCTCTGGATGGGGGGCGCCCAACGAGGTTATCTGGCCCCTTCTTGCTGTGTTTACTTCTGGTGTCTCAGCTAGGCCTGCTGCAATGCTATCCAGACCAAAATCATATGTGTTCTCTCTCTCTCACACGCACACACACACACATATGGCACCACCTCTGACATTACACCCCACCCCCATCCCACCCCCGGCTGGCCGCTCCCTCTCAGCCTCAAAGCAACTGTCCCACCCCCACTGCCAGTTTTGTCTCTAACAGATGTTTCTCTTTGGACTCGGAGTGTCGTAACCGTCCCCATGCGGCGGCCCCCACCCTGGGCAGCTGTGGGAACAACACTGTCCCAGCCCAAGGGAGGCTCATACACAGCACACACTCCAAATCTGGGAGTAACCACCTCATCCGTCACCCTTAGGCTGGTGTCCCCTCAGTTACAGCCAGGCTATAGATAAAAGGCCCTGGGAATGGTCATCCTTGACCATCAGGCTGCTACTGTGCAAAGGGGCCCAGACCAGAGGCCTGGGAGAGCAATTTAGGGTGCCTCCAGGTTGTAGGCCTTCAACAAATCAGAGAAACTGAGGTGGCAGTGCACGGTCTTCCCCCAGCAGTGGCCTCCTTGCACCCCAAGCCCAGACCCAGCCTTGCCCAGCACTCCTGTGTTCCGCCCTTTCATCCCAGCGGGTCCCCACCTTGAGCACGGTGACGTAGGGTGTACCATCAGGACCCACTTTGCTGCCGTTCACCTCCACATGTTTAAGCCATTGGATGTGGGGCTGTGCATCACTGTACACCTTGCAGTGGAACTCCACGTCGCTGCCCAGCACCGCCGTCTGGTTGGCGGGCAGACCCGCCTGCAGGATGGGCCGGTGGGGGGATCGCTCTGTGGAGGAAGACAAGGTTCAGGGGCTGCCCAGCCTACCCCTGCAGTCCAGTAGCCCACGGACCCAGGCCTCACTCACCCAGCACGTCCAGTGTGTACGTTTGCTGGATGCTGCCGAACTTGTTCTCCACGATGCACGTGTAGTTGCCGCGGTCAGAGGGCACCACGCTCTCCATAACCAGGCTCCACTGCTGGTGCCGCAGCTGTGGGACGACGTGTTAGGTAGGTGTGAGCCCAAGCCCCAAGCACCCCGGGTGGGCGCTTGGTCCACCGCCCAGCTCACCTTGATGCCCCCGATACGATGCTCCCCCCGAAACTCCTTGCCATTCTTGAGCCACAAGATGGAGGGGGTGGGGTTGCCAGCGGCCGGGCAGCGGAAGCGGACAGTGTTGGCGGCCGGCACAGCCAAGAGCTTCTTGTCCATGCGCTCAGGCCGCGTCCAGTAAGGGGCCCCTAAAGGCAGAGGGAAACATGAAGGCCATGACCTCACCACTTTCAAAAAGCTGCCCACCCCTCTGGCCTCAGTTTCCCCTCTGGTGTGGGGAGAATGGTAGGTTTTCAAGGACTCATGCTGGGACCAAATCTCCCACCCAGGGTTTTCTTGAAACCGGTCCCTCTGGGATAGGTGGCCCCTCCCTTCCAGCCTCTTCCCATGGGGAGAGTCCAAGGTACCCACCCCAGCCTGGGTGCCTTTAGGAAACAGGGTGTCTCCCACCAAGGCAGACCCATATTAGGGGAGTAGGGGTCACATCAGCTCTGCCATCAACATGCTGTGTGGCCTCCTCCGAACTCAGCTGAGAACAGGCCAGGCCCAAAAAGGGACCAGGCCGACACAGGCCACACCGTCCAGCTAGGTGGATGAGTCAGGGCAGGCCCTGGGAGCAGTTTCTGGGGAAGCTGGGTCAGACCCAGCCACCCACCAGGGCAGCCGACGGTGGCATGGCCCATCAGATTTCCGCCAAGACCCTCAGCCCCTACTACTTGCCGCACACCAAGGGACTCAGTGGCCCTCAGTGGGGGGGAGGGTATACAGTAATGATGGCCCACCCCCTCCATTCCCAGTGTTCAGGGTTAGTGCTCCCCCACCCCCATGGTCCAACAGGTTTTTCTCCTTCCTTTGGGCTAGGTGGGAGCTACCTTCATGTTGGGACTTGTGAGGAGGGCGGGTGGGCAGGCGTCCCCCCACACCCTAAGAGGAGATAGGCCCCTGAAGGGAGGACTCTTTCTACTGTGACCATCCACACAGCCGCTGAGTAAAGGATGAAGAACCCACGGGGTGAGGAGTCTAGTCACATGTTAAAAAGGGGTACACTCTAGCTTTAAGTTCCCTGCTCTCCGGCTTCTTTCTCCTGCTGAGAGACTGCCAAGGGGAACCAAGTGAGGGCCTGGAAGCTCATTCCCAGCGACGACCAGGAGACCTCAATGACTCAAAGCTACCCACTGTCGGACAGAGACTTCTGGAAGGTGCCATGCCAGAGATTCTCAACCCCTGAGCCCACACAGGGTGGAAATGCCAAACACCCACTTCAAACAGGTGGGCCAGGCCCAGTGTGGTTAGGGAAGGGGGCAGCTTTTAGCTGCTGAGCCGGAAACCTGGCTCTGAACTTCCTGGCAGCCAAAGAGAAAAGGGAAACAAGGAAGTCCAACAGCTCCTTGGGGACGCAGGACCTTTCCCAACATTGGTCCTGGAGGGAGCCCTTCTTCTGGTAGCTTCTACAGAACTGCTTCACCCCAGCCCCCCAGGGACCCCCAGGAGCTTCCAGCCCCCTGAACTTCTGCCCTCCTGATCTCTGGCTAGTTCTCCATGTTCACTGAACCCCAGAGGGCTTGGTCCATATGCCAGAAACCCCCGAGTAATAGCAGGGTCTCCTCTAGGCACACGTCCATGGCAAAACTACACACCGGCATCCATGAGCACCTCAAGTGTAGCTCCTCCGGACCAAATGCCCCAGTGTTCTATCTGTCTCCACCACATCAGCACCAGGGGCAGTGCCTCCCTACACCGCTCCCAATACCAAGCACAGTGCCCACTTGCTCTCACACCGACAGCCCCGTCAGGGAATGATGCTGATGCCACCCTCACCACGAGGCCACCATCAGCATCCACACCCTGTTCTACTCATATCTGTGACGGTCCCAGCTCACCCAGGTCAACATCAATGTCTTCCCAGTGTCCCAGCCTCTGTCTCCCCATCTGCAGTATGGGTCACCTTTCCACTCCTGACCTGACCACCTGAGGAAGGTGGCCCCCCAGTCCTGTTCAGAGCCCGCCCGCCTGGAACCTGTCTCACCTGTGTCCTCAGCCTCGTCCTCACCGTCTTCATCATCTCCTGAGGACGGAGCATCTGCCAAGCAAGAGGGTGGGCATGTGGGCAGTGACCCTGGCATCCACAGCTCTCGTCTGCTACTTCTTAGCTTTGAGTTCACTGTCTCTTCCCTCCCAGAGTCTGGGTCTCTGCTCCCTCCCCTGGGAACCCTTCATTCAAACAGCTCCTCCTGGGGGTGGGCCCACCACCTCTCGGTTTCAGCACCCAAACAGCATCAGGGCCAGTGTGTCCCAGGCACTGCCTGCAGACCCCCGACGCCCAGCCTTCTGCAGGTGCTCACCTGTCACCCGTACACTGAAGCGGCAGAGGACATGCTGGGTGAGCCGGTGCCGACAGCTGTAGGCGCCGGCATCCTCGTGGGAGATGTTGAGCACCTGCAGTCTTTGAGGTCCCACTAGGATCCGGTCTGACGGCACCAGGCCTGAGCTGTCCTTCACCCAGATGGTGGGTCCTGGAGTACTACCCATGGGTGGATGGCAGCTCAGTTCCATGGTGTCCCCACTACCAAAGACCAGCTGTTCCTGCTGGCCAGGCTCTGGTCCTGGGACCTCTGCAGGGGAGATGGGGGACCGTGAGGACACAGAAAACTCCACAGGCTCCTAATTTTACACAAGTTAGCTGCTGCCAGATCTGGATTGCTGAAGGTCCCTCCAGAGACAATGAATGGCTCAAGATAGGGGCCAGCAAATTGTCTTCCCAAAGACCCAGGTGACCAGAATTTCCCACTTGGCCACATGGTCTGTCAGAGCTATTCAACTTTGTAACACGGAATCAACCATAAATTAATAATAATAATAATAATAAAGTTGCCAGCCTACAAGAATTAAAAGTAAATAGAATTAAATACTGTTAACTGATGGTCCCGGGAGGGGATTGCAATCATTATAATGAAATGAAGTGTAAGATTTGTTGGATGTACAACTGAGGATTTGTTCTGCAAACCTTTCCTCTATTCATCATAAAAAGTTGTAAAAAATAAAGAAGCCATCCAGTCAATCCTGGCTCATGACGACCCCAATGTGGGTCAGAGTGGAACTATGCTCCATGGGGGTTTTCTTATTTTAAAAACAGTGTTTGCAGTGAAGGTACACACAGCAGTGTAAAGTCCTGTTGAATGACTTCACTGTTCAACGCTCAGTGTTTGGTGATGTTGTTTACCTTCTTTATAATATGGGAAAAGCATTCCTGTCCTGACTGTTCTCTTTCCATTCCTCTCACTTCCCTGCTTCCTTACATCCTTCTCAGCTTTAAAGTAATTATTGACCAGTTAGGGATCCCTGGTGACACAGTGGGTAAAGTGCTTGCTTGTTAACGCACCAGCTGTTCCTAGAAGGATGTGGCCGTCGGCTCCCACACAGGTTTACAGCCTTGGGAACCCTGTGGGGCAGTTTTCCTCGGTCCTATGAGTCAGAACTGAAGGCAGTTGCGTGGTTTTGTTTTTTTTTGGTTATTGTTGTTATTAACCATTTGAGATGTCCTACAGATAATTTTTTTACAGGAACACCATACACAAGGATGATAGTCTTTCTCTTCTGAACCTATCTATTATCTAGATAAACGGTGGTCTCCGGGGCTAGTTTCAGTATAAAGTTTAGAGAATCTCTCCAGACAGTAGTCTCCAGGGAATCCTCTAGTCCCAACTGGTCCAGTAAGTCTGGTTTGTTAAGAATTTGAGTTCTGTTCCACATTCTTCTCCCATTCTATCAGGATATCCATTTGTCGTGTCCTGATTGGAATGGTTGATACTGGGACCGAACCACCATCTAGTCTGGTCTGGGTAGATGACGTGATAGTTTGTGTAGAGTATCAGTTTGGTAGACTAGTTTCTTCTTTGGGTCTTTGGTTTTCTTCTTTATCTTTTGCTCCAGAAGAATAGACGCCAAAAGTTATATCTTTTCATAGGATTTTCAATGGCTGACTTTTTGGAAGTAGTTTGCCAGGACTTTCTTCCAAGGCACATCAGAATGGACTCAAACCATCAAGCTTTCCGTCACCAGTCAAGTGCATGCACTGTTCTTGCCAGCCAGGGGTTCCGAAAGTAGCCCAAGACAAGTAAACAAAACGTACGGACATGAATATCTGAAGCGTTCCTAACTTTCACATGCCATAAACTAGTCTTTCCATTTTTTGTTTCCGACCATTTAAAAATGTGAAAACCATTTTGTTTAGTTCATGAGCTATACAGGAGTAAAGTGGACAGTGGGTGACGTTTGTAGACCCTTGAGAACTAAACGGGGCGGGGGTGTGTGTGTGTGTGTGTGTGTGTGCACAGAGGCCCAAGTCATGATGGGACAAGCCCAGCATCCTGTGAGGGAGTATTTACCAGAGGAGAGAGTTGCCTTCAGAGGTCCTCCCCCTCAGATTCTCAAATTAGTGTCAAAATCAGACTGAGGGAGAGCAGAGTCTAGCTCTTTAACAGTGTTGTTGTTAGCTGACTTCAAGTCCAGCTTCAAAGTCAGCAACAATGTTGCTGAACAGTTATAAGCGGAAGCAATTAATAACACCCTGCAGGGGTCCATTTACCTGAAGCTGGGTGTGAGCTGAAGGAGCTGAAAGTGATGCACTGACTGGGGGGTATGGCGGAACACTGGCTGAATGCCTCCCACACTGCACAGGGAACGCAGCACCTTGCATGCAAAACACACCTCAACAAATCAGCAGAAGTCCCACACTAAGAAAGAGACCAACAATCTAAGAAAACAAGATGCCACCCTGGGGCCAGCTGGTGGGTGGGTTCCTCTCATTTTACAGCAGAGAACACCAAGGCTAGGGGAAGAAAGCCACCCACTGAGAAGGGAGAATGTGGCCATAGAGCCCAACCCAGGAACCTGGGCAGCCTCACCCTGCAGGTCCCAGGAAGGTGGGCTGAGGGTCATCACCAAGAGTGGCTGCATGCAGGTGGCCCCTGGCTCAATCCTCAAGTGGTCAGCAGCTGCCCAGTCCCTGAAGGGCCACCAGGGCCTGGAGACTAAGGGACACAACTACCAGTGGGTTGACAGTCCCCCCAGGCCTCCCGGCCAGGGCCAAACAATGACCAACACAGGCAGAAAGCCTGGGCTCGGGGCCCGGGACAGGGGTGGGTGGTCCTGCCTGCAGGCGTCCATCCCCAAGCCCAGCTGGACCAGTTGCGACCATTACTTGTCATTCTGTCGACGCGTGGCCTAGATTCGAGGGTTCAGCTGCCCACTCTGGCCACCAGTCCCTGGCTCCCCGGCCTATTAGCCGGATTTTGCCATCCCACCTCCCCACCATCTATCAGGACCCTGCCAGACAGAGACTCCATGCTCATCTCAGAAATATCCATGGGAACCAGCGTCCCACAGGGACACACAGTTTAGGGTTGGATGCTGCAGTGACCTGGTAGTCGGAGGTTTGACAGCCAGCCCTGGTCACTGTGTCCAGTGAGGACCACCCAGCACCAGGCATTGCTGAAGGCCCCCCACAAGATCCAGAACAGGGCCTCAGCCTCAGGCCTCAGCCCAAGGTCAACAAGGCAGCCAGTTCCGGTTTGGTCTGGGTGGTAATGGTGGATCAAGCTGTCTGTACAAGTATTTGCTTCAACTTGGTCCAGCCAGGGCCTGGGGCCCAGGCTGTGGGACAGAGTGGTCCCCCAGGCCAGCAGTCTAGTCAGTGGTCCTACGGGGGAGAGGAGGGGCGAGGCAGAAGAAGAGCTCTCCACTCAGTCACGGATGCTGTACACCCACCTGCCCCAATAGGTACCATAGTGGCTAGGGATGCCCCCAGGGGACCCCTTATTAGTTGTCAAGTGCCACTGAGTTGGTTCTGACTCATAGCAACTGCATATAACCGTTCCTCAGAAACCCTATACAGGGCTCACTACGAGTGGGAACCAACCCGACGGCAGTTAACAATATAAGATTTCCGAGGAGCGGCTGGTGGGTTTGAACTGCCAATCTTGTGATTAGCAAGCAGTCCAGTGCTTATCCCTACAGTGCCACACCAGGCAGACAAAAAGTAGCATCCATTTTGTGCTATCCCACATGGCCCACCTTCGGCCAGCTCCAGGAATGCACAGGGGAATGTGGGGGAGGGGAGATCCAACAGGGGGATGGCTGAGGGCATGATGGTGTGGAGACTGGGCACCAAGTGGGTTAAGAGTCTGACTCTACCTGGGGGGGGGGGGTTCCCACAATGCCCCCAGCCTCAAGCCCCAGTTAAGCTGCCAGGTCCTGTGTGTCCCCCTCGCCCCTCAGTGGTCCCAGAAATGAGTCTTTCAGGGTCATGGGAGGCACTGGTGCTCACACACACATCGGAGGGCCAAGAGTCAAGTAAGCAGGGGATAAACAGTCTGTAACTGCTCCTTCCTGAGCCGCCAAGAGAGCAGTGTCCTGGAGGAGTCACGTAGGGTGGGGAGGCATGAGACGGAGATTAGAGGTCCCAGGCACACGGCTCCCATTCACAGTCTTCCTGACATCACCCTATCCCACTGGACTCAGGAAGCCTGCCCCCACTGATGAAGGTAGAGCATGTGAAAGTAGGGAGCCCCTGAAAAGTTTGCCTGGGGCAGATGACTCAAGCCTCGGCTAGGATCAGTCTGCTCAGGGGGCCAGTCCCCTGCCCCAGGAAGCTTCCTGCTGGCTCTAGAACACTACAGTTGTGTGCCCCCAATATATCAGGTGGCACGGGACAGGGTAGACGTTAATACTCAAACCCAGAAACAAGTTGCCATCGTTGTCAACTGTAACTCATGGTAACCCCATGTGTATCAGAGTAAAACCGTGCTTCACACGGTTTTCAATGGTTGATCTTTCGGAAATAAGATTGCCGGGCCGTTCTTTCGAGGTGCCTCTGGGTGGACTTGAACTGCCGAACTTTTGGTAAGCAGCCAAGCATGTTGACACCCAAGAACTTCATCAGATAACAAGGACCAAATTCAACTGAACTGTCAGGTTACTGATTCAAACAAGCCCACTGGACAGACAGTGTGGACTGGGAGCCACTGAACATGAGAGCTGTGGGGGTGTGAAACAAAAAGGCCCTGCTCTTCAACTGCACATGAAGCTGTAGTTGGTTGGTTAAGTCCTTGCTGTCAAACCATCTGAACAGAGAAGTGCCACAAATGTGGGCAACTCTGAACCCAAAGCTCATACCGGGGGATGCAGCAAAGTTTCATAACAATGGGAGGGGGGAGAAGGGTATCCGGAGGCTGGGAGGCTGGGCGGGCTAATGAGGGTTGACCAGGATTATCCAAGCTAATCCTGCCAACAACCCTGCAATTACCTTCCCTCTAGGACTGGGGAGGAAACTGAGACTCAGGGAGGGTACCCAGCATGGGGGTAGGGGGGTTGGGGCAAGGATTTGAGGGTGGTCAGCTGGTAGCTTCCAGCTCTTCCCAGTCCCTCAGAGCCAAGGCACCCCATCAGTCAACTAGGGGCTGGCTTCAACACCTATTCACTTGTAAATCACCATAGTTGGACGTGGACCTCCCCCAAATCCGGGCCTGGGGGTCACTCTAGTTTCACCTCCTGGGAGATCCCAGGCTCCAGAGGGCCCAGCAAGGAAAGGGGTGGGTAGGCGAGTCTGATACAGGCCGCGGGAGACTCAGCTCCGTCCCAGTGCTGTGGCTTCAGGCTCGGCTCACGTTAATGAACCACCCAGAGGCCCTCGGGGCTCAAAGTCCAGTCCCAGCTGTCCCTGCAGTGGGGGTTGGGGAAGGCTACAGGGAGTGCCTCCCTAGAAAAGGTTCTGCATCCCCCAGAGACTATTAGGGTTGGGGTGTGGTCTGACAGGAGGGGCAAAGAGCTCTTCCCATCAACCTGGGACAGGGGTACAAGGCCTGAAACTACTTGGGGGCTACCCAAAGGCCCCACACGAGGAGCACTGCCCCATGTCCAGCCAGGCTGATCTTGCGTATCCAGGGCCATCCTGCCTATCGGCCACCTTCCCTAACGCCCTTGACCCCAGCCAGCACTGGCTCCAAGATTTATGTGCCCAGGGAAAGCGCCAGCCGGGCTCTGTAAACTTCACGAGGTCTTTGTATTTTTTACTACCTGACCCATCTCGTTAAGGAACCGGATTAACTTTATTGACCTATCAACTCACTACCTGTTTCACCAGCTCCAGTGCGGGGGCCGGAGCCCTCACAACCGCAGCAAGGGGCGGGGGCAGCTTCTGTCCTCATCTTTTGGGGGGCAGCTACAGGCTCCTCAGGCTTTGCGATGCCCGGGACAGGGCCTCCAAGGAGCTATCCTTTCCCGGTGTGGGGGAGAAGGATGGAGGTAGGCCCCTGACCCACCACCTCCACCACAGGGGGTTACCAGTGAGGACTACAGCTCCTCCCTACCCGCCCCTAGGGAGTAGTAATATCTTCATCTGAATGCGAATGCTAATGCGGGGCTCCCCCCGCGCCCCTCCCGCGGCCGCCTATTCGGCGCCCCTGAAAGTAGGGGCCTTATGAACAGGCGCTAAAAGCGCGCGCTGACCTCCGGACGGCCTCTGTCACGTTGCTGAATGACACGCACATTCAAGCGTTGGGCCCACTTTCATTCATAAAAAAATGACATTGTTCCGAGAGGCTACAGCCGCCGCGGGAGAAGGGGGCGCGGGGGTGGGGGCGCCGAGGGGGCGGGCGGCCATCTGCCTCCTTCCTGCCCGCGGTCGGCCACCTCCCTGGCAAGCAGCGCCCGCGGCCACTCGGCTCACACCTCCCCGCGAGGCCGCGCCGCCATCAATACGCGGTTTGTGGCCGCGCTGGGGTACAAAGGAGCGGCTGTTCGGGCCCAGTCCGGGTGGGGCGAGGACGCACCGACGAGGGTCTGCCTGTGCGCTGCCCGCCCGCTTGGCTCGGCCAAGGCTCCAGGGCCTGGCAAGGATGAGGCACTCCCGGCCCGCGCCCTCGGAGGTGACTGTCCCAGGTGTCGGGGACGCAGTCTCCGGCGGCCCGCCAGCCTGGCAGCGCGCGTGCGAGGACAGGCGATACCTGGGGCGCACAGCGGGGGCCGGCGCGTGTACGGGCGGGGCTCTTCGCAGGCCACCTCCCACTCTCCTCGTCCTGCCCCCCTCCAGCCCTCCGCGGAGACCCCCGCAGTCCCACCGTCCCGTGCCGCTTGGAAACCACTCCCCGCATCTCCTCCGGGAGTTCGGCAGGGACTCCAGGAACCAATCCTTAAGCACCCAGCTAGGACCGATGGCACGAAAGGGTCTGCCCAGCGGGAAAGCGGTGGCATTAGAAGGATGTCAACTGGCCACGCGGACCACTGTGGGGGGGACGTGCAGGGTCGTGGCCCGACTGACGCGCTCATACGCACCACCTCGGCCCCTGCTCCAGCAAAAGCCGACTCTGACAGGGACGGAGAGCATAGGCGCGAACTACCACTGGAACCTACTATCCACGCACAATCCACGGAATAGCACCGGGCATCGTAGACACTCAGCTCCCACGCCCGCTCCCTCCCGACGGCGCCCGGGGAGCCTCTGAGGGCAAAGGCTGGGATGCCACGGCGGCGCCCGCCTATCCGCGGCGGCCTCGCACTTGGGTGGCAGCCCTGCGGCTCCAGGCGCCCCACAAACCTCCCCGCCTCTACCAGCCTGGATCCCCGAGGAGAGGGAGCCCGCGGGGCCAGCTCCGGGAGAGAGCGTCCCTTCCGCCCCGACGCCGTGGCCTGCCCAGTCCCCATCGGTTCCTTACCTGCCGCTCGCCTCACGACGCGCCGCTCCAGACTCGGCAGCCCCGAAGTGGCGCCGGCTACCACGGCCACGGCCAGGCAGAGCGCGAGGGCGCAGGCCAGGGGGCCCATGGTAGGGCGGGGGCCGCGGTGTCCTCAGGCGGCGCACGCGGGCATGCTGTCTTCACGGCCCGGTAGCGGTGGAGGGCCCGCTCCGGAGTCTGCGGGAGGAGCGAGCTGCGCGTTACCCCTACGGTCGGGGCGCCCCGGCCCTAGCACCTCCGTCCGCCACCGCCCCGGCTCCCTGGCCGCCTGGCGCCACCACCCCGCCGCAGTCCCTCCCTCCTCCCTGGCTCTCCTGGCGGCCGCAGAGCCCTCCCAGGGCGACGGCGGCGGCGGCAAACTTTGCGGAACTAGAAGCTCGGTTCGGCCCCAGGCCCTACAGCAGGGACCGCTCGGGCGCTGACCAGCGCGTCCGCGCCCCGCTCCCCACGCCCCGAGCCCTAGCTCTTCCGCTCCCAGACCTGGCGAGCACAGCGCCCGACTCGCTGAGTGCGGTTCCACTCCCGCTCCCAGCCCGCCGGCCCCGCCCCTCCGGCCGTCGGTCCACCGGAGTCCACGCGCCGGGCAGAGCAGGGGCCTCGGATGCCCGCGCCGCCGCCGTCGCCGCTGCCGCCGCCACCACGAACTGAGAGCCCCCGCGGTCCGGAGCGCGGCAGCCAGTGGAGGCCGGCCCTTCCACCCCGCCCCGCCCTCGGCCCCGCCTCCGGCCCGGCTCGCTTTGGCGCTGGAACCCGCCCCGCCCCGCGGGGTGGCCTGAGGGCGGGGCCACCACTTGTCCTGCCTCTACCCGCGGAGGGGATTAGAAGGGGCGGGGCCTGGCGGGGGCGCCGGGCTGTTCTCGGAGGGCGTGGGAGCGGGGGCGGGGCGCGGGCAGGCGCACCCCCACAGTGCACTGAGAGGGTCTAGAGGGCGGGTGCGCGTGCAGAGCCCAGCGAGGCCGAGCATGGGTCGGTGTTTGCACAGCGCAGTCCTGCAAAGGCGCCTAGACAGGGGAATGCGCGAAAGGGGGCCGAGAGGGTGGGCTCGGTGGGCTCGGTATCCCCTACGGTGGGAGCAGGTATCCTTCGGTGGAAGAGAACGGGGGGCCGGGGGTGTTCAGGGTAGAGAAGTGTGTGTGTGCAAAGGCCAGAAACGTGGAGTACAAGGAATTAGACCTTGGAGCTGTGGGGTCCGGCTACACTAAACGCCTGAGGCATATGTATCTAGAGGATGTTGGACAGGGGCAGGAACCTGGGGTGCTGGAGGCAGAGCCTGAGTGGGCCTGTTGTTGCTGTTCTGTGCCGTGGAGTCGGTTCTGACTCATAGCGACCCTGTACAGGGTTTCCGAGGCTGTAAATCTTTACGGGAGCAGAGCCTCATCTTTCTCCCACGGAACAGCTGGGAGTTTATTTCAGCTGGGGAGTTCGGGGTTGGGGACCTGGGTTCCCAGGAGGGTGCTACTCAGATCCCCACCCTAAATGATTGTAGTGCAGTCTTTGCCTAATCGCAGCTCACTGGAGAGGGCTCTCCTCCTTACTTTCAGGCAAGCCTGGGGGTGCCAGGGCAGGATGACAGATTTACAGGAACTAGAGTCAGAAGAGGGTATGCCTGCATTTCCTGGCTCCAGGACAAACCCAGGACTCCCTTTGCTTGTCAGGAAAACGGGCAGTGAAAGAATCAGGCCACACTCTCCTCCCTTCCCAGTCCACCCAGGCCAGCCCTGGGACACCCCAGTGTCTCAGACCAGAATCCAGGGAGCCCTCAGCCTACCCTTTGGGCCCACCTGCTAGCTTAACACATGCGCTGTGTCCCAATGCCCTCCCTGCTCTGACCAAGCAGATGTCCCAGCCCCCACCAGTGCACTCACCCCCAACGCCCATTCTCCTGAGTTGGCCTCTCCCAAGGCCCTCCGTGCAGGCCACAGCAGCACATTCTGCCCTAATCTATTAACTGGTCTATCAATCAGTTACTACATGGGTTAACATGGTGGGGACTGTACCCCTTGGCCCTCTTCCCCTTAGGGTGGGTGGCTGGACTGGGAAGGGGCTGATAGGAGTAGGACTCAGCCTAGGGGTAGGCTCTGAGGAGTGGAAGCTCATAAAAGAGGTTCTGTGAAACTCCAGGCCCCCTCCCTCCCTGCAGAACAAAGTCTGCAGCCTCTCCCTGGTCCCAGCTGTCCCTGGATCCTGCAGGCCGCTTCCTGCTGTCCTGTCATGTTCTCACAGAACAATGTCCAATCGGAGCCAGGAGGCCTGCGTTGCTTGTTTGTACCCTTCTACGTGGCACTGGTAGCGCTACGTAGTGGTTACGAATCGGGCTGCTAACCCTAAGGTCAGCAGTTCGAAACTACCAGCTGTTCCATGGGAGAAAGCTGAGACTTTCTGCTCCCATAAAGATTTATGGCCTAGGAAACCCTGTACAGGGTCACTATGAGTTGGAACCGACTCCACGGCACATAACAACAACAACAACAACAACAACGTGGCACTGCGGATTAATACGCTGGACTGCAACATCGATTTGAACCACAAGGCCGGCAGTTCAAGCTCACCAACCTCTCCTCAGAAACCCTATACAGGCTGGCTATGAGTCAGAACCAACTCAACAGCAATTAACAACAACAACAACCCCATGAGAGCTCTGATAACCGCAAGGTCGGTGGTTCAAACCCACCAGCCACTCTCAGAAACCCTATATTGTTGTTGTTATGTGCCATGAAGTCACTTTCGACTCATAGTGACCCTGTCCAGGGTTTCCGAGGCTGTAAATCTTTACAGGAGCAGAAAGCCACAATCTTTCTCCTGCAGAACAGCTGGTAGTTTCGAACTGCTGACCTTGCGGTTTGCAGCCTGATTTGTAACCACTACGCTACCAGAGTTGCTATGAGTCGGAACTGACTTGATGGCACTTAACAACAACAACCCATGAGTGCCTGACGCTGCACCTCAGACTCCTTGCTCTCTAACTTCTGGGTAGGTCTGGCCTGCCCTTTCGGCAGCCCAAGCAAGACAAGCTGGTGTGTTTCTACCCAGAACCATCCCTCTAGCTATGACTCAGCCCACCTAAACCACTGGAAATGTGTTGTGTGGGGGTGGGGGGATCTCTCCTCCCTCCACCCTCTCCCATCCCCTAGTTACAGGCCTGGGGTGGCCTTAGGGTGCCTCGGACCCTGAATTGGGGTCATTGGACTGCTGTAATAAATTACTACAAACCAGGTGGTTTCATAGGAGCCCCGGTAGTACAATGGTTAAGCACTTGGCTGGTCACCAAAGAGTTTGAAGGCCCTAGGTGCCTTGTGGGGAAAAGAAGTAGCTGGCTACTTCTGTAAAGATTACACTATGGAAACCCTATGGGACTGTTCTACTCTGTCTCCTGGGGGTGTCTATGAGTCGGAATGGACTCAATAGCATTGGGTTTAGGCTTTTTGGTTTGAGTGGCTTAAAGCAGCAAAAATGCCTTCTCAACACAATTCTGGTGGCCAGAAATCCCAAAGTAAGGCATGGGCAGGGTCCCTCTGAAGCTTCAAGAATCCTTGCCCTTCTCGGGCTTCTGATGACTCCAAATTTCCTTGGTTTGTGGGGTTTGTGGCTGCCTCGCTCGGGTCTCTGACTCCATAGTCATATCAACTACGTTTCTCCTCTGCATGTGTCTTACAAGGGTACTTGTCGTTGAATTAGGAGTTCCTGGTGGCACAAACAGTTAAGTACGGAATGGTTGGAAGTTTGGGTCCACCCAGAGATACCTTGGAAGATAGACTTCATGATCCAGTTCCAAAAAATTAGGCATTGAAACCCCTAAGGAATGGATTCTATTTCCACACGCACAAGGTCACTATGCGTTACAGTCGACTTGATGGCCACTCTCTTTGGTTTTGACTTTTTGTTAAAGATTGAGTGAAGGTTTACAGAGCAGAACATCAGTCCCAGGTTGAACAAATCATAAATTCTGTGTCATTACAATGATTGCAATCCTTCTGTGTACTGTCCGTTAACAGTATTTACTACCTCTATTCACTGTAACTAGTTTAGTTCTGGTTATTGTATTTAAGGTCCACAGGACATCCCAGGAGGAGGGCACATTCACAGGCTCTAAGGGTTAAATGGGATGTACCTTTTTGAGGCCATCATTCTGCCATGAAAGTGGTCCGTTCACTGTGTCTCCTGAGTGGAACTGTTTGGTTGACTTTCAAGGGCAAAGGGCAGTAACATTTTCATACCTCTGGTCTGATTCTGCCAAATGACTTCCACAGGATCCTATAGGTACCCTTGCCACCAGCGGAGGCATCACTGCCAGCTGCCCCTCTTACCACCACCAGGGAAAGAGTTTCTTTCAAGTGATTGTTTACTGTTACTGTCAAACTGATTTTCTAGTTCAAAACCATTGTTTTCAAGTAAACAGGTGTAAACCCAAGAGCTGTTGTTTTACATTGTTGCATTTTCTTGACTTTGGTGAGGCTGGTGCTGTTGTCAGTTGATGGAGCTCAGCCCCAGGCTCTCCATGTGTTTCCAGGTCCCTCTGATGTTTTTGATAAACTCACAGTTATTCATGCTATTTCATTCTAGCCCACTACGGCTGAACACAGGAGCCCTGGCAGTGTAGTGGGTTACAGATTGTCAGCATTTGGAGTCTATTATATTAGGCACTTCATGGGAGAAGGATGATACAACCTTGCTTGCTGAAAGCAAAGAGGAATTAAAATACTTCCTGTTGAAGATCAAAGACCACAATTTTCCGTATAAGGTGCACCTCAATATAAAGAAACCAAAAATTCTCACCACTGGACAAAAAATGACATTAAAATTAATAGAGAATAGATTGAAGTTGTCAAAGACTTCATTTTGCTCAGATCAACCATCAAACTCATAGATGCAGCAATCAAGAAATCAAACGACGTATTGCATTAGGCAAATCTGCTGCACCAGACCTTTCTAAAGTGTTGAAGAGCAAAGATGTCAGCTTGAGGACTAAGGTGTGCCTGACCCAAGCCATGGTATTTTCAATAACCTCATATGCATGCGAAAGCTGGACAGTGAATAAGGAAGATCATAGAAGAATTGATGCCTTTGAGTTGCGGTGTTGGAGGAGAATACTAAAAGTGCCATATACTGCCAAAAGAACAAACAAATCT